CTCAACACTGTGAACAAGAGAAGAACGATTAGCTTCCCTTCCTAGATTTGCTTCTAAGTAGATGAAGTGATTCCTCAATCAAACGACCTATGTTTAGAAAACTAACATGGACATGCCAATAACTTAGTTATTATATTTATTGCCCTGTGCAATACAAACGCGGTTTGATAATTGCCTAATTAACAGGTTGATGTTACACATTATCACCGTTGAATGCTGGCCGGTTCAGTGGTCTAATGGTTAAGCGCCCGCGCGAGACTCATAGGTTCTAGGTCCGAATCTCGCAGCAGGCGGGATCGTGGATGCGCACTGCTGAGGAGTGCCATACTAAGATGAAACGGGCATCCAATGCTTCCAGATTTTCCATGGTGGTCTAGCTTCAATTGACTCATGATTTCAACTATTGAGGCTTGATTGTATTTGCACAAATGACGATACTGATTATGTTGTTAGGTTATTAAACAAAATATAAATGGGAAATGACTAACCTCTTAAATTCATAAATAGATAGAAAGTTCATGTTACATTGAGACCTACTGTAGCCTTGGTAGGAAAAAAAGTCTGTCTACATCACCTTTCCATTTAGAGGTGATTTATTAAAACAGAGGCTTAAATCAGTCATTAACAAGACGTGTTACGCAGCAAAGGTCATTATCAAGGAAAGAACAAGGTCCATGCTTCGTCGCCCCATCCCACAATGTTTAACAATTTAAATGTGTGTGTGGTCACACATACATATGCCTGGTCATCGCTAATTGTTATATCAGAATCGCTTATCACTTATGCTTGTATAGCGAGGAACCACTGCAATTCCAACGATGCGAAAGTAAGAACATCAAATAAAGATTAATTAAACCTCAAAACACGACGATGACGACGGCGACGATTCTAATCAGTAATACACTCACTTAGATATTGATTTCTACACCTATTTCGATCAGGATGAAATCACATCTGTGAAAAATACCCAGAGTTATAACAAATCACATGCTGCTTATTATATTGAGCATAGTTCATATTAATATGATACAAGAACATCCTCTATTAAACAAACACAGCAATCTGAGTTTGTTTTTTCATCCTGTCATATCATTGATAATCTTCGTTGGAGGATCCATCTACGGCAGTTGGAAAAACTTCATCCCAGACCAAATGGTGCACATAGGCTACAGGATCCCTAAGGAAAAAATGGCGTATGCATCTATTGTTTGTCACCGGCTACCATGGGACTACATTTGAATAAGACAACCAACTAGAGAAAAGAAAACAAATACTACACTGAGTAGTATTTAACAAAAAATCACAATGAGTGAAGCAATTCGAGTTTGCTATTTCATCCCGTTCATTATCACTGATAATCTTCGTTTTCTTATTGCATAATCGAAATGTATATTTTTAATTATGAAATATTTATGAAATATTCAGTAGCCTAGTGGTTAAGCGTTTGCGCGCAAAACAGAGGGTCCCGAGTTCAAGTACCACATGAAGGATCGTAGATGCTCACTGATGTGGAGTGCCATATTAGGATGAGACGTCTGTCCAGTGCTTCCAGGTTTCCCATAGTTGGTATAGCTTTAATTGACTCATAAATTTAATTAATAAATTACGATAATATTCACATAACCCCTTCTCTGAATATAATCATCATATGCTTAGTAGTGACTGTCTCCAAGATGGATTTCCTGGAGTCCTAGTAGGAAGTCGTGATCAGTGCAGTTCAGCCAGGTGACAATGATGGACGGTAGGTCAATATCGTGGATTGGTTGGAGTTACACATTAACTCCGTTGGATACCGGCCGGCTTAATGGTTTAAAAGTTAACTGCTCGCGCGTGAGATTTATAAGTCCTGGTTTCAAATGTCGTGAAGCAGGATCATGAATGCACACTGTTGAAGAGTCTCATACTAGGACGAAACGGCCATTCAATGCTTTCAGGTTTTCAATGGTTGGTCTAACATCAATTGACTCATGAATTCAACTCTTAAATTAATTTTGTTTGTAATAATAAATAGTTTACAATATCAGTGCACATTTTGATTACTCGGTATTATATTTCATTTAAATAGTGAATAAATGAATGATCTATTCAAGTTTCATAAAGGAACTATTATTTAAATCAATCATAGAAACAAACAAAGGTGGTGGGGGAGGAGGAGGACATGACAGCAACAATTAGAATTGAGACATTAACTCCACTTCCCTCTCCCCCATACTCCTCGTTCTCCTTCCCCCCCCCCAAATACCTCCCCCTTCCTTGACAATATGAAATTAGATACTATTTTCTATATTATTATGTGTCATTTATGTTTTCAATAGATGACATATTAATGATTAATTTAGCTTGTATGTATATTGACATAGTTACATATTCTGTAATGCAATTATGACATGGGTTATAATGTTCCCTTTATTTTTAGATAGTAAATAATTAAAAAATTTCAATTATTTACTCAAAGAGACCGTTTTATGATAGAGAAATTTACTTTAGATAAACAATTATGTAATACGAATCCAGGATCTATCAGTCTCGTGCCAGGCGCTTAACCAACTAGACCACTGAGCCGGCATCCAATAGTGTTAATGTCTAACTTCAACCAATCCACGAAGTTGCACCACCGTACACCATTGTCTTTAGTGAGCTGAAATCGCACAACAGACCTGGTTGAACTCCACAGTGATCTAGTTGGTTAAGCGCCTGGCGCGAGACTGATAGGTCCTGGGTTCGAATCTCGCGGGGTGCGAAATCGTGGATGCGCACTGCTGAGGAGCCCCGTACTAGGACGAAAAGGCCGTCCAGTACATCCAGGTTTTCCATGGTGGTCTAGCTTCAATTGACTCATGATTTCAATCTGTGAAATTTCGAAAATCTCAACAAACCGCTTCTGATAATCAAGTAATAATGAAAGGGTTTGAATATATTTGTCAAGATGATATTAGAGTTATATAATGAGTAATCAGTAAGGAATTTAGGTTGATTTAGAAATTATGATGAGGAGAGATGATAGATGCACTCTAAGTGAGGATGCGAGTCAGAGAAGATTGATTAATCTGCAACTTTCTCATTCATCTCATGAAGGTTGAGGGAAGTAGGAAGAACTTGATATTGAAGAGGAAAGTATGGAATACTATACAGCTTGGCACTGAGTAAGTAAGGCCGAGCGAACATCGGAGATATTTCAGTTGAAAGCGGATAATTCGGTGTGGACTAATTTAGAGTGAATTTGGGTGAGAAGTAGTGAAGTTTAGACGGGAATTTGGAGTTTGACAACACTTAAAACAGTAACACCTTCCTTCTACTATGAATCGTATCGACCAAGTGAAATGAAAAGATAGAAGCGAGGAGGTTCGAAGATATATTTGATAAGCTATCAATATATCGAGGATCGGGTGATCCAGACTGGCTAGCGATTACAGGAGACGTTGAGCATGGCGTTCCCACTAGTGATCTGGTGCGAATGCATGAACACAACAGTAGACTATTTGCTGTATATCACTGTGTGAATTTCGCGAAATGTCCCCTCCTTGAAGAGAGCCATTCAGGTGAAAATACTCAGTATTCAACCAAGACAAGTGTGTGACAAAGGCGAAAATTTAACGTGTTACCGGAGAATTCACATAAAAATTTAGTAGTAGAATGGTGGGAATATTTGCAGTTCTCGTTTCCTTCACCAATGTCGTGCGGAATCCGAATATCATTAGCTATATATAAGAGGCTTGGGTGGTTGAAAGTATTGGTTGCAGTGGTAGTAAATGATAATGAGGCAGGATACAACCAACATCGGTGTTACGATGGTATGTCAGTTATAAAAAATTAATGAATTTCCGTGTGCGTAAACATAAAAAAACACCACACACTCTTCTACACATAATCTACACTACGCTCCACACTCAACAATCTCATCACTCAACAACACTACTGCATAAACTCAACAATTCACCATCACCTCGTCAGTAGTATATTCAGTTTACACAACGAATTCCCGATCATGCACTCCACTAAACAACAAACTACTGTCGAGCATTTCAGTAGCACAGTGAAGTCAACTAAATATCATCGGTTTAGTTTGTATCGCATTGCATTGCATTTCATTGTATTCCATTTCGTTACGTTGCGTTGCGTTGAGTTCCATTGCATCACATCCAATCGGGTTGCGTTCCGTTCTGCTGCACCATCTCCTGGTCTCATAATCCACTCACACACGTGATAGTCACAACTTGACGTCAGCAGCACATCTGAACACTTTTCACTAGTTGCACTACAGAGCAACAACACCAGATATTTGTGCAGACGAATACCAAGCACAGTCAGTCAACTCGGTTGACCGCGAATTTCATAAGTAGGACAACATGGATGGAAGTGGTTTAATTTGTTGATGTTTAGAAATTCTGTGATTTTCAATTGACATTGATCAATCAGTGGTTGACCTGACTTGATTTATGCCTAATACTATGTGGATAGTGGATGCAGTACCAACAAGTCATCGATGACAATGGCGTATTTGTATGCACTCTTTGTCTTTTTTTAAACTAAGAGATTAAAATCGTTCTATATGTTTCTTCCAACGAACTAATGCTTTCTTCCTGTATTATATTCTTATATGCAATCTTTCTTTTATACATTACTACCATTGACTTAACCACTCCTATTCGGTTTTCATCTTGCTGTGCTAATGAGTTATGACAACTTGGATCAATGCGCATATGTGCCTGGTACTACGTTGTAACTAACGGACTGACTAACTATACAACGATCATTTTCATTTCAGGTCAAGAAAATGAATGATAAAAGTGATGTTATTTAGTTAAAATGGGATAATAATAATTGTACTCATAAATTTCATACAACAAAAATGTACAAAATTATATATCTATATATAAGTAGTTTATAAGTAGTATAAATTCATAGGAATGATAATACTGTTTATATCGTTTTCTCTCTTTATTATTCCCTTTCTTTCTGTCTTTCTTTTTTATTTATTTTAACAAAGGAATAAAACAAAATTAATGAACAAGTAAGTTGTTATTTTTAGACAATTTTAAAAAATCTTTTGTTACTACTGATAAAGAATCTGTAAGTAGTACGGGTGATTCATGAGAAGAAGATTGTGTTGAACTATGATTCATTGTCATCCATGTTGACGCCGATGATGATGTTGATGATGGATGGGAAGGTAAAGAATGATTAACTAAACTAAAAATAAATTTATAACAACCAAATTGTATAATTGAGCCATGTCTTAAAATAGCCGAACCTTCCCAACCAGTGATTAAATTGAATGAATCTGTTTTATCATTTTGAGTAAAATGTAAACTTGTACAATCACATACAGATGTCATATGTGATAAATCCTGGTAAAGTATATAAAAGAAAAAGAAAAAAGAGAATAGGTGTAAATAAGGATAATAACAATGACTGAGAATGAGAAGAGCCAGTTCTCCTTCTTGAAATGATCTGACAGGGAAATCCTACTTTTACTACATTGTCGTCAAGGGGTTGTTGTTTATGAAATTAGGAGAAGGATGAAAAGCGAATGTTCGACGCTTTAAATGAGTTGGTGAATATGAAGAATCCACCTAGGACAGTTGAAGAAACCTTTTCAAACTGATGATGTACATGGGCTCCACTATCCTGAGGGAACAAAAGGTGTATGAACTGATTGTTGGTCACTAGCTACCATGGAACTGCATCTCCTGACGTTGCTCCACTACCTTGTGGATTAGACCTGTAAGCCAAAGGCTCGAGGTGTGGCCCCCTAAGAAATGCACCTACGTCGGTTTGAGCACCTGAGCAGCAATCTCAGCCCTCACATAAATTGAATGATTTATGTGGAGCACATCTGTTTAGTGACTTCGCGTACCAATGTTTATGTGTTAAAATAAAGTAAAGAATAATAATAAACGAGTGAGTCTGCCTTGTAACTAACTGAGACCTCAGTAGTGAACGAGTTCCAATGATGATATTTTCTGTTGAATAATATCCATTTAAATCCATAGAGAAGTATGCAAGTTTTTCAAAGTGTAAATATGACTTGCTGTTGAATGTTAAATTAAGGGTTCAAGGATTTCTTGTCAATTTACTGGAAAACATTTAATTAGACTTTTTCAGTTTGCATTAAGGAATATACATATAATTTAAACACACAAACATAGGTAGAAGGAGGCACCAAATAGATATGCACCACACTTCACTATTCGATTTGTGTGAGAGATAATAACCGGATGCTACAACGAAAGCAAGTGGTTCTCGTAGAGGGATACACACGGAGCCTTTGACCAGTGGTCTAATCCACAAGACAATGGAGCAATGTTAAGAGATGTAGTCATATGGTAACCGGTAACCAACAATAGATTCATACGCCATTTGTTCCCTCCCCTACGTGGACGCTCCATATCCACCGACTAGCTAAAGTGCCGAACATTCGCTTTTCATCCTCTTAATCTAACAAAAAACACCCTCACCACGAAAAGGCAGTTAGTAGGATTTCCCTGGCAGTGATTATATACGCGTGGCCATTTGGAAGCGTTTCGATATTAAGAGTGGAATCTCCTCACCCTCGGCCACACCAGGATATTCGAGGGCAATATTTCACAAAGACGATTTTTTACCACTATTATACAATATGCAATTTTGCACCACAACAACTAACTTAAAGTTGGAAAAACAATATAAAACAATAAGCATTTAACAAAAATATTTTGTTCTCATTCGAAATGCGTCGACATTGTGGTATGTACATGTACAATCACCTCTATACCATGAGATCGCAACTAGGTTACTCATGTCTAACAGTGAACATTAGAATTGAAATTTACAAATTTACTACTAAAAAGTTTGATTTTATAGTTTATATCACGAAATGAGTTTAGTTATACAAGTTGTTAAATTTGTTGCCTACTCTCCCTCTTTCTCTTTTTTCTGGTGGTGGTCGACAGGAGTATGAAGAGCTCGACAATTCAGGAAAAGCACGGAATACTAGACGATCTTAACTTTGTACATGACCTACAACTTCTGTCCCATTCACATGAACAAATCTAGATCAAGACAAATTGTGTAGCAGCAGCCACTGCACCAGTAGGCCCCAACATACAAAACGGAAAAAGCAAGATCCTCAAATACAACACGAAGAACATCAGCTCAATCACAATTGATCGACAAGCTCTGAAATAGGTGGAACCTTTCACGTATATGGGAAGCATCATCGATAAACAAGGAGGATCGGATGCAGACATAAGGGTGAGGACTGGCAAAGCAAGGACAGCATGCCTACAGTTGAAGAACATATGCAACAACCAACATCAAAGTCAGAATATACTATAACAACTTCAAAACAGTTCTACTGTACGGAGGCTAAAACTTCGAGGACTACTACAACCATCATCAAGAAGGTATAAATATTTATAAATAGTTGTCTACGCAACATACTCAATGTCCGTAGGTCGAATAACATCAGCAACAGCTTACTGTAGGAGAGAACAAACCAGGTCCCATCTGAAAAGGAAATTAGGAAAAGATGCTGGAGTTGGATAGGACATACATCACGGAAATCACCAAACTGCATCACGAGGTTAGCACTAACTTGGAATTAGATGGTGGTTGGAGGTAGTCGATAGGAAACCCTGGACCCGGGTTCGATTTGCATTAACAAGCACTAGACACGAATGACATTGATCGCCACCCAGTGATCAATCAATCGTGACTAACTTGGAATACTAAAGGCGAACGAAAAAGAGGAAGGCCAAAGAACACACTGAGTCGGGAATCGGAGGCAAACATGAGAACGGATGAATAGCAACTGGGAAAAAAGTGGAAAGGATTGCCAAGAAGAGATATGAATGGAGAATGGTGGTGGGCAGCCTATACTACTCGACGAGAGGTAACAGGCGTAAGTAAATAAGTAGATTCCCACTTTGTTTGTTGATAAATCCTTATCGAGATTTCACACAGGTATCAGCTGTAATTTGTACTATCATGTGTCACAACTAATCTTTATTTTATTATTGTAGTAAGCCTTTTTAATTTTAGACACACAGACGCGCTAAGAGCCACAGATACCTCATAAGTTGAGGTTTGTTAGTAATTTGTCTATTTCTCAATAAAGAAATGTTATATTGTTATATTGTGAACTTTGGTTTCGCATGTATCTTAGTTGTATGATCAGACACATCGGTATTCAAAAAAGTAGGAATTAAGGGATAGTTGTTTCTTTCTAGTAAGAGATTACACACATAACTCCACCAGAAATGACAACCGGGAGCTTCAACTCTATTGACTAATGTTTGATCATTAGAACAATTTGTTGTGGGTCCATTAAAATTATGTTCCGTTCAGGATAGACAGTAACAATCATCTACTGTCATTCAGTGAATACTTGTAAATAATTCTTTTTCATTGACATAATAAAAATAAGTTTTAAATAAGTATATTTCACTTACTTCATGTCGTTTACTTAACATTTTCATTAGACGTTTAGGCGGTGAAGCACACAATTCTGAAATAACCGATGATGTTTCATAATTTGGTAATAATTCTTTAGGAGCAGTTTTTATGAGATTACGAACTCGGTGAACAAGATCGGAAGACTAAAAATGTGTTTGCGCATGAAGAAAAAGATAGAGAGTAAAATGAAGAGTAGTAATTGTACATTGAAGAGATCTAGAAAATTATGAGGAAAGTAGAAAAAAATTACATTACTGGATTAACCAATAGTACCAACGTATCCCATTCCCAGCGGTAGCCAAACCAAAATATGGAATCAGTCCACGGATCTATTTACTATTAGACTAGGCTATGTTGATAGGTAGGTGCAAACTACCTGATTGAGGTTCACATAATACCTGAGATCAGTAGTTAGAGATGTTTGGTGACATGGCTTAACATTTTTTCTGATGGTCAAAATGTATTCGTTATTTGTCTTTGCTTAGATCCTGAAAAGTGAAATCACTCTCGAATTGTATTCTCCATGTCTGCTTTTTATTGCCACTGATATTACTACTACCACGACTACTACTCCGACCTCCCGCTTGAAAATTTCACCTAGCTGTTTTGATTCTTTGTTAAAAATTGTTCTGATGCATACATGTACCAGGTTCTACATCATGGCCGTTTCGTTCTACTGTGGGACTCTTCAGCAGTTCGCATCCATGACCAGTGCTTCATGGTTTTCTATGGTGGTGGTCCAGCTTCAAATGACTCATGATCTCAACTATTAAAATTATAAGATTTCTATTTAACTTATTAATTGTTAGTGCTTTATTGTACCAGAATTGTTGTTAATTAATTATGCACTTACTACTGGACTGTTTTGTATTACTAATGGCTTAACCTGAGTTCGAATCCCACGGGGGAATTACGGATGCGCACTGCTGAGGAATCCCACAATAGGACAAAACGGCCTTTCAGTGTTTTCAGGTTTTTCATGATAATCTAACTTTAGTCGAATCATTTCCTCAATTAATAAATTACTGAAATTTCCACAAAACCTTCTGATATAAAGCGAAATGTTAATAACCCAACTTCATCATCACATGAACAAATCATTCTTGGCAATGAAAAGAATTTCCTGTGAGACCATAATTTATGGACGACCTTTGACCAACATTAAAGTGACCTTCAGAACGCACAACAACTAACTAGAACTAAATGAGAGTTATACATCATGAACTAATATAAGTTATAATGCCCAAACTCTATTTAACCAAATTAAATGAATGAATTGGGCGCCGAGAATTCAAGGCCTGATTGGTTCATTGATAAATTATAGTTTCATCATTATTATCACAATAGTTCGCTAAATTTCATGGATTAGTTGAAATTAGACATTAACACCGTTGGATGCCGGTCGGCTCAGTGGTCTAGTAGTTAAGTGCTCACGCGCAAAACTGATAGATCCTGAGTCCGAACCATGCGAGGCGAGATCGTGGATGAGCACTGTTGAAAAGTTTCACAATAGGACAAAATGGCCATTTAGTGATTTCAAGTCTTTCATGGTGATCTAGCCTTCAAATGACTTTTATGATCTCAACCATTGAAAGTTTTAATGAAATAAAAGAAAACATTAAACTTACTTCTGGAATATAAATTAATTTTCTATCTATATCATTCCCATATATAATACCATCTACACGTGTACCATATTCACTATAATTAATTAATTCATAATGTTGTGTCCAATCATCATAGAAGATTGTAGCATGATGTGGTGATATAAATGAACATTTTTGATTATTTAATGAAGATAAATTATAATTAGCTAAACATAAATGACAATCTGGTGCTATAGAGAAAATGAAGTAAAAGAAAAAGAGAATGTAAATGAAATATATGATGTAATATATTAGTGAATAGTTTCTAATCAGTTGATGATCAATGTTAACAAGTATAAAGCCTCTCTGAATGCCCTGGTATGGTCGAAGGTTAGGAGTGTCAGCTACCCTTCTCGAAATGTTATCACATGATCATGTGTATACAACTACTGTAAGCGAATTTCTACTCACTACCTTCTCGTGGCATTACTGTTGTTTACGAAATTGAGGGGATGAAAAGAGAATATTTGGTGATTGAACTGAGTTGGCGGATATGGAAGATTCACCTAATGGAGTTGAAAAACCTTGATTCCAAACCAATGATGTACATTAGTTCCAGGAAAGAATGGCGTACGGACTGATTATTGGTCACCGGCTACCGTATGACTGCATCTCCTGACGTTGCTCCACTACCTTGTGGATTAGACCTTTAGGTCGAAGGCTCTGTGTGTGGCCCCCTAGGAAAATCATCTGCCTCGGTTTGTGCACCCGGGGCAATATTCCAGCTCTCACACAAATCAAATGGTTTATGTGGCGCATATCTGTCTGGTACCTCCTCGTATCAATGTTTATATGTTTCAATAAATAAATAAATAACAAGTATGAGATGTACTCTCAACTACTTAGCTGGAAGAAATCTGTGTTTGAAGTTATTAATTGTAGTAAGACCTAAGAAATTGTTCAGAGGTTTATATATCTAGTTAATAATGTAAGAGCTGATGATAATATGGGAGATGATATGAATTTGACTGTAAACAGTTGAGTATACAACGTTTTGATGGGATTATTTTTGAATTTATGTTTATAAGACCTAGTACCCACATTCCCTGAAATGAAGATGTTCGGAGACCTCTCTGTATTCGATCAATGTGATCCAGGATACTGATGATAATTGTATGTGTTACGTTTATGAAACACTGGCTTTGAGATAACCGTCCTCGATTTACAAAAAAATTGCCAATGCATGTGTCAGTTTACAATGAAAATTACTTTCACATACAAAATGAACTCCACAAACCTTTGAATCTGAATAAAAAACCACTAAGATGACGTATGTTCATTAAAACCACAACTGACTGAAGGGTGCTCAGACAGAACCGGGTAGTTTCCTTAGGTTGCCATACCCGGAGCCTTAAACCAGAAGGTGTGATCCACAAGGCATTGAAGCAATGCTGATAGATGCAGTCCCATGAAAGCCGGTGACCGCCATTTCTTTACTCAGGATATTGGAGCCCATGTGCACCACTGGTTTGGAGTCAAAGTTTTCCAACTTCCATAGGTGGATCCTCCATATCCATCAACCCGAATTTTAGATAGTTAGTTGTGCTTATTATTCACTGAGTGGTGATTCATGTTGTGTTTTCCTGGATTATTTATTTGCTGATTGAACTCTATCAATCAAGTTTCAATGTAGCCACCACTTGTTTTAATAACTTAACATAGTATGGACTAGGTTTTGATGTTAGATGGTTTAGAGGTAATCAAAAGGAAACTAAGCATCTGCATTTCATGTTATTTGTACCTTGATTAACATGGCTTAATAAGTTTGAAGGATTAAACAAATATAACATTACTTGATGTTGCTAAGTCATCAATGAATGTAAATATCTCATTCTCACAAGAAGTTAGTTGGACTCGTAAAGTTTGCCGACAAAGTCTCAAGCTATCAAGCTGAGTAACTTGAAGCAGAATACGCTTTCCCACCTCTAACCTTTTAAGTTTAACGGTTACTTATCTTAAGTGATATTGACTGGTCAATATAGGGTAAAACTGGATCTTGCAAAGGTTGACTTTCAAAACCGATTACTATACGCCAGGAAGTATATTACGAACAAATTTAGGTCAAAACAAACAGTGCAGCAGCAGGCTCTGCATCAGTGGGTTTCAGCATACACAAAGAATCCTCAAATATAACACGGAGAAGACCAACACAATAATACTTTATGGAGAGGCTCTGGAAGAGATGGAATCTTTCACGTATCTGAGAAGCATCATCGATGAACAAGAAACATCTGACGCAGACGTAAAGGCAAGGGTTGGCAAAGCAAGGACAGCATTCCTACAGTTGAAGAATATATGCAGCTCAAAACAACTCTCAACCAATATCAAAGTCACAATCTTTAATAAGAACGTCAACACAGTCCGTCTGTACAGAACTGAAGCTTTGAGAACTACTACAACCATCATCAGGAAGGTACAAGTATTTATAAATACTTGTCTAAGCAAGGTACCTGGTATCCATCAGCCGGATACCATCAGAAATAGCCTACTGAGGGAGGGAAAAAACCAAGTTCCAGCTGAAGAGAAAACTAGGAAAAGACGTTGGAAGTGGATAGGACATACATTACGGAAACCATCAAATTGCATTACGCGGTAAGCGCTAACCTGGAATCCTGAAGGGAAACGGAAAAGAGGAGAGCCGAAGAACACACTGCGTCAGAAATCGGAAACAGATATGATAAAGATGAATAGCAACTGGAAACAACTGGATAGGACTGCTCAGAACAGAGTTGGATGGAGAGTGCCGGTGGGTGGCCTATGCTCCTCCATGAGGGTCATTGACGGGCGTAAGTAAGGAAGTATATTGAAAATTGATGTAACTGCTGTTTAAAATACATTTTGTAATAAATAAACTTGTTACTTATAAACAGTTAAGTTTTGAAACTAAAAACAAAACTTACATGTACCAACAGTCAATTGCCTATAATGCATTCGAGTTTCATATCCATTAGTCCCATCACAAGGTGTTAGTACAGCTCTTGCACGGATACAACTTTCAGGAATATTCAATGTTTTAGAAGTGTCTCTCTTTCTTTTACAACTATTCTGTTCAATATTGTCTTCATTAGGAAAAATAGAATTTTCATTGTTAATACCCAAAAGATCATAAATACGTTGTGCTGCTAACGTATACAATAATTGAGGGTCTAAACGAGCCAATTTAGAAGGAACTAAATATGAAAATAGAATTTGAACATAAAAGAACATGTCATTTTATATGACTGCTGGTTCAAACTGTAATGTCAGAAGGAAAGAGAAAAGATAATGAGTTTCATAAGCAAATATAGATAGTGGCTAGCAGTGGTACCCAGGATGCGCGTTTTGTCCTATTTTGGACTCGTCAGCTAGATGTAATTTCATCACAGAGTTGATACTCACTCTGAGACTCGAATACTTGTGAATTAAAGCAATATCGAGTCAATACATATAATATGCCATGAGAGACTGATCAATTGTAGTCCTAAACATCAGTGGGAAGGTTCAAGTTAATAATACCAACTGAATTTAGAATGAGTTTCATTTCATATATTTTGATAATAAACGAAAAGCATAGAACTTTACACTGATAAATGCACTGTAATCAACAGGAAACTCTGTTGACTGACTACCTCCAACCACCATCTTATCTCAACATAGTCCATGCAATGTCGAGTCACCTAGATTAGTGACCGTATTGCAACTTGGTCGATAGGATTCGATATGCACTAAGAAGTACTTGATATACATGACACTGATTACCGCCCAGTGATCAATCAATTGTAAAAGTCTATGTAATGTCAAAATGTAACGGAGCTGAATAACTTTAAACATATGCATAATTGAATTTAGTTAGAATTAGTGTCAAGTACCATGATGAGAATAATGAGTAGAACAAAACATACTCCTCGATAACGAAACACATAGCTAAAATATACCATAGAATTGACTGAAAAAATCAACTTTTAAAGGTTGTGTAAGCATTGTCAAGCCGATTTTATGTTTACACAAACTCTGTCCTAAACATTGAATGTTCCTTGACAATTTCTAATCCATTTTTGTTGTTAAGGATTGTGTGACAACTTCCTAATATTTTTGATTGAAATCATGAGTCAATTGAAGCTAGACCACCATGGAAAACCTTGAAGCACTGGACGGCTGTTTTGTCCTAGTATGGGACTCCTCAGCAGTGCGCATCCACAATCCCGCACCCCGCGAGATTCGAACCCAGGACCTATCAGTCTCACACCAGGTGCCTAATCAACTAGACCACTGAGCCGGCATTCAATGGTGTTAATGTCTAACATCAACCAATCCACAAAATTGCGCGACTATCTTCCATTGTACTGAGATAGACACCTGTTTCCATCCGACACTGATTAGCTTCACTGGTCATGGGGTTTCGTGTGTATTGTTTTGATTCGTAAGTTGTATTTGTCGAAAACTGATTTTAGTTGACGGACCATTGAAAACCAAGGAGTACTGGATAGTTATTTCGTACTAGCTTGGAACTCCTCAACAGTGGCCACCTACCATCAACATTAGGGTTTAGAACAAAGTCTAACGGCAAACTTTTAACCACTGGAACTGTTAGATCAGCGTCAAATGACATAATTTCAGATTTAAGAGATATAGAGCGATAACCATCCAATGTTTCTATTAGCAATTATATCGCTTCCGACAAGTTTGGACCAGTCATGCCATCTAATTAAGTCTTCGGAGACATGATGAAGTTGCTGATAAGCTGACAGATATAGTTAGGTTATATAATCTATAAGTCCTATTCAGTTATGTATCGTATTTATTTAAACATATAAACATTGATACAAGGTGGCATCAAATAGATATGCGCCACATAAATCATTCGATTTGTGTAGGGGCTGGGATACTGCCCGGGGTGCCCAAACCGAAGAAGGGAAAGTTTGAGCTCGTCTGGGAAGTACTGAATCATAACCTTCACAAGTGTGTGTGTGCATATGTAACTGGATTATTCGAAATGTAATTCGCAAAATACATTGTTGAAATACAATTTAATAGAAAATTAAATAAAATAATTTCCCTTTTAACTTACTACTATTATTATCATCAGTAATATTATTGAATTTCTTCATAATTGCTGTTTTCAATTGTTCAAAAGAGTTACACAAATGTTTGTTGTCATCTTGAATAAAGGAAGGATCTTTAGATATCTGTTCTGTATTATATGATAATATCGATGAATTGTTGCCAATGTTCATATCAATGGAATCTGTAGTTAGCTTCAATGTATCAGTTGTCTTGTTATCTATTACAAAGGAACTAGATGTATTAATATTATTGATATGGCTGTCAATAGTTGTTGTTGTTACAGTGATAGGAGTTGTGTCAAATGATGATGATGATATTGATAGTTGTGTTGCATTAGTAGTGACAATAGTGTCACTAGTATCAGTAATCATTGTACTACTACTACTACTACTATCTGGTTGTATTAGATTTGACGATTGTGTAGGTAATTGTAATGTATTTTGTAAATAAAATTGTAAAAGGCCACGAACAAACTTTAGTTTACAATGAAATAGAAAATGAACACGAAATATAAATGAAAATAAAAGATTATAATCAATTCAGGATTATTAGAATATAATCAATAAACGATTGAATAATTACCTACTTACTTACTTACGCCTGTTACCCCAATGGAGCATAGACCTCCGACCAGCATTCTCTAACCCACTGTGTCCTGGTGCTTCCTTTTTAGTTCTATCCAACTGTTGTTCATTCTTCTCATGCCTGTCTCCATTTCCCGGTGTAATATGTTCTTTGGTATTCCTCTTCTCCTTTGGCTTTGAGGATTCCATGTGATGGATTACATTGTGACGCAGTTCGGTACTTTTCTCAATGTGTGTCCTATCCACTTCAAACGCTTCGTCCTGATTTCTTCCTTTGCTGGAATCTGGTTTGTTCTCTCCTACAATAGGTTGTTGCTGATAGTGTCTGGCTGACGGATCCAAAGTATTTTGCGTAGATACCTGTTAATGAACACTTGTATCCTCTGAATGATGGCTTTCGTAGTACTCCAGGTTTCCGCCCCATACAGTAGAACTGTCTTGAAATTAGTATTGAAAATTCTGACCTTGGTGTTGGTTGACAGTTGTTTTGAGTTCCAGATGTTCTTCAGTTGTAAATATCCTACTCTTGCTTTACCGATCCGCGCCGATTGAAGTACCAACTAGTATGAAATCTACATAGAATGGGATTTCCTGTTGACTACTTCCAACTACTTGGCATCAACATAATGTCTATATCATGTTGAAACGCTCAGATTATTGTTCACATTAGAACAGGATCGACAGAATTCAATCAGCACTAACGACTAAACAAACATGACATCGGTCACTTTCCAGTGATTAATCAATCTTACCTAATTCTATATAGGATAATTGAATTAAAACCTATGAGTTTAATTATTTTTGTTCTAAAAAACACTTAAAATTTACGGCCACGTGTTACATATGCCTAGTCTTAGCCATGTTAGTAGATGCAGACTACTTAGTTAGGGTCCGAGCGACTATTGTAACCAATAGTGGTTGGAGACTCTAGGTGACATGACTCAGCATCGATCACAATGGCGTAGGTGTATACACTCTTTGTCTTCCCTTAAACCGTGAGTTTAAAATTACTTTATGCCTTTCTTTCTACCAACTAATTCTTTCTTCCTGTACTATATCCTTATATGCAATCTTTCTTTTATATATTACTACCATTGAAGTAACTGGTTCTATGAATTAGGTGTTCGTCTTGCTGTGCTAATGAGGTGTGGCGAATTAGACCGATGCATATATGTGCCCGATCTGATGTTGTAGCTGACTGACTGACTGAAAATTTATGACATTTAATCCTCTCTATCAAATTCACTATTTAGCATTCACTACGTGTATTATTCATTGAAAACTTGTTTATTTGAAACAAGTTCTGTACGTTGTGTAGCATTGCGATCAGTTCAAGTTCGTTAAGCGGTAGCAGTACTGTAGTGAACGAGAACACATGTGGGGACAATCGAATGTATTTTAACACACAACTATAGAATATCTTAGTAAAATCTGAAAACCATACAGTAAATACTTCATTTGTAAAATGTCAATCAATCGTCTCAGATTTCATTGTTCTTTCGTTTCCACACCAATCATTCTCTGTGGTCGTTCTCTCTCCTTCGATCTTATTAACCTTTTGTCACCAGGCATTTCATCTTCGATTGATGATACATAATACATATATCTGTCAACATCAGTATCATACACCACAGTACTAATCTGACACAGGTTCGTTATGTTAAACTGAATTCTCAATCCTTAATCTTGGCCGTACCAAGGCATTTGAGGACCAGTTAATCATACAAGTGAATGTTGAAAAAATCACTAGATACTGAATTATTTCAGTTTTCATTCTAAAAAAGTCGATTTATTTAGTTGTATGAGATAACATTTTTTTTCTTTCCAACAAATTACTGATTTTCAGTATATTTGTAATGTAATTAGCAATGAAATTTGAGGACGGGCATTTCGTCGTATTTGTAATTGTATCCCAGTATTTATGTTAACATTGAGATTCTAACACGGTAACCTTTTGCTTCAAACTCTCAACATATGGTACGATGGGTTATTGAGTCTCGAAACGTTTATCTTAAATTGTACTTCTAAAACCGCATAGCCAAAATCTGAGGAATAACACTATGTAAAAGTAACAAGCTCATGAGACAAAACATGGCAATAGAGCTTGATCGATTAGTCTCGAAAGTGTAAATCCTTACAAATCATTACTGATATTGATTAGTTTGTTGAGTTCGTATTGTCATGGATTCCGCGCAAAAGTGCTGTCAATCAGTCAGCTACAACGTAAGACCAAGCACATATATACAACGGTTCAAGTTGCCACACCTCATTAGCACAGCAAGATGAACACCGGATTCGTAAAAGTAGTTAATTCAGTGGTGGTAATATATAAAAGAAAGATTGAATATGAGGATATGATATAGGAAGAAAGAATTAGTAGGTAGAAAGAAAGGCATAAAATAATTTTAAACTCACGGTTTAAGGGAAGAAAAAGAGTATATACACCTACGCCATTGTGATCGATGCTGAGTCATGTCACCCAGTATTGAGATTAGATGGTGGTTGGAGGTAGTCAACAGGAAACCTTGGACCCGGGTCTCGTGCTACTTGGCACTCGTCAGCAAGGCGTACCTGTAATCTTGAGGGAACTAGTGCTCCCTGGCGGATTCGATCTCGTGTCACCCAGCTTCACAGTCAGAGACGTTACCACTGAGCTATCCGAGCCGTGACTGACCGCCTGTAGGACTGAGATGTAATCACAATTGACTGATCACTGGGTGGTGATCAATCTCATGCTTGTCTAGTCAAAACACAGTGCCCGCAGTGTCGAGTCACCTAGACTGGTGGCCACATTGCAACATGATCGATAGCATTCGATCTGCACTAATAAGGACTAGACAAGCATGAGATTGATCACCACCCAGTGATCAATCAATTGTGATCATGTCACCCAGTCTCCAACCATTGGATACAATAGTCCTACCGACCTCAACCCAGTCGTCTGCATCTACCAACATGGTTCAGGCTTGAATTTAGTGACGTTATGTACTGATGTCAAATTTTGGTTTGGCCGCCACTAACTTTCTCCCGTCCGTCTCCAACACTAGTCAGCATTGTGTGCCGGGGTAATGGGTATTCAGGCATACGTAACATGTTGCCCAATCATCTCAGCCGATGAAAATTTACAACCTCATCGACTAATTTACAATCATTCCGTAATAGTTTGCGTCTATTTATTTTAACACATAGATATTGGTACAAGGAGGCACTAAATACATATGCGACACACAAATCTCATTTGATATGTGTGAGGGCTGTGATACTGTCCAGGTGCCCAAACCGAAACAGGTGGTTTTCTTAGAGGACCACATCCGTAGCCTTCGATCTAAAGGTCTGATCCATAAGGCAGTGGAGCATCGTAAGGAGATGCAGTCCCATGGTAGCCGGTGACCAACGATTGGTTCATATGCCATTTGTTCCTTCAGGATACTGGAGCCCATGTGCACCATTGGTTTAAAATCGGGGTTTTCCAACTCCCCTAGGTGGACTCTCCATGTCTACTAAACCGATTAAAGCGCCGGACGTTCGCTTTTCGTCCTTTCAATTTCGTAAACAGCGCCCCCGCCACGAGAAGGCAGTGAGTAGGACTTCCCTGACAGAGGCTATATACGCGTGGCCATATGAGACCATTTCAAGAGAGATAGCGGACTCTCCCCACTCTTGGCCGTACCAGGGCATTTAAAGGCCTGTGTCAACAGAAAGTAACGACTGATCAAAACAGAAAAAAGAATCTACAAATAAAGAAATAACGAGCAAATCAAACCAGAAACTCAAAACCATAACAATAACGGAAGGAATTATAAAGAAAAGAATAAGCTTACTATACTCTTTTCATCTGTACTGGAACTATCAATTAAATTTGTTAATTGATATACATTTGATGATTCATTAATACGTGGAATTCGTTTTACTGGATTATTGTACAAATGTTTAACTGCTTTTGGAACCTTGATAGATAAGGGATAAAAAGTATAGATATATCTTATAAGGGATATAAATACTAAAACTGAATTAATAACATTCATCAAAACAATAAAGTTAATTTACTTTAGATGAATATCTACACTAGATTCTCTCTTACAGTATCTATTCTAAAGGACTTCAACACAATTCAGATCAAGAACACATGATTAGTCTGACTAGAATGTAAATATATTTCCACATCCAAAACTGATAAAAAGCTGACACAATTCAATAACAATCATTCAATCACTTTATCATTCTTGTCCATACATCAATGCCCGTTATTCCACAATACTTCAGTTATATCAGAAAACAGTACTTTGGTTTTTGAATGTAAGGAACTATTAAAAATACAACTCTACAAACATTAAAAAAAATCAGTCTAAAATCATAATAGCATGACTACTAGGTAATTAACACTGATTGGTCCGACAATAGAATAAGGGGTACATCGGTATTTCAAAGTTATTTATTTATTTGAACACATAAATATTGCTAAAAAGAGGCACCGGATACATATAAGCCACTTGATTTGTGTATGAGCTGTGATACTGCCCAGGTGCCCAAACCGAAGCAGGTAGTTTTCTTAAGGGGGCCCTACACCAGGAGCCTTCGACCTAAAGGTGTAATCCATAAGGCGAAGGAGCAAAGTAAGGAGATTCAGTCATATGACAGCCAGTGATCACCAATAGGTTCATACACAATTTATACCCTCAAGATCTTAGAAAACATGTGTAGCATTAGTTTGAAATCAATCGATTGTTTTTCGAAGCGAGTAAAGTAATTTCCATAGACATAAAGGGGGTCATCACGGTTTTCCAACTTCCCTAAGCGAATCCTCCATATTAATCCGGTTTAAGCATTAGATTAATACTAGATTCCTGATTTTATGATACCTACTTCCGTTTGCTCAGCTTATCAGTATCACTAGATGTTACATTAAATAAAGGTGCAACTCAAAGCCGAATATATAACCTTGTGTATTTTGACAAATCCGTTATCCTCATTTTTAAATAAGCTGTAGAACACTAACTTCTGGTCTAAGCCATGTTGATGATAGGTGCAGACTACTTGGTTGGGGTCCACATGACTATCGTAACCAATGGTTGGAGACTCTTGGTGACATGGCTCAGAATCGATCACAACGGCGTAGGTGTATACACTTTCTATCTTCCCTTAAACTAAGAGATTAAAATCACTTCATATCTTTCTCTCTACGAACTAATTCTTTCTTTCTGTATTATATCCCTACACGCAATCTTTCTTTTATATATTACCACCTCTGAATTAACTATTTCTATGAATCCAGTGTTCATCTTGCTGTGTTAATGAGGTATGGCAACTTGGACCGATGCATATATGTGCCTGGTCCTACGTTGTAGCTGACCGATTGACTGACATATAAAATTGTAGGATACTTACCACAATTCTTATCTGTTTATCATAATAATTTAGATTATTTCTAGATTTTGCTGCTAATTCACGATTTAAACGCCATAAATGACGATTGGACAATCTATGTTGTTTATCTTTAATAGTAGTAGTATTATTAGTAGTATATAGTATTGAATCGAAAATACTTGACATTGCTGTATTGGATAAATTCGATGACAATAACTGATACTGTTGTTGTTGTTGTTCATTTCTACTACGTTGAATAGTACGCATTAAATCAGAAAGTATAGAACTTTCTTCATCTGGTGTATAAGTTAATTCATATGGAGGTATATGTTCAAGTATTTTTGTCATTTCATCAGTTTTATCAATAGATTGTTCATAATGATTATTTTCATTATTTAATGATGAATATAATTTAGTCCAAATTTGCATACGTTCAGTTAATCGTATTGAACGAGTTAAATAACGTTCAGTTGTATGTTCTGTATGATTTGGACACATCCATCGATCAGAACGTGGTGGAAAATGAGATAATGGTGGATTTAAACATTCTAAATGAAAGCATGATGAACAATAATCACATGGTAACAAAGGAGCATAGAAACATGTTCTGAAAAACAAATGTTTAGAAATAAATTAATTGAACGAATAGTTGGATACATAAATTATAATCTTAAAGCTTAAATCCTAGTCCTAGCATTTATTATGAAACCCTAATTCATACTTTTTATGTTTTCTGATTGTTATAATAACCTTAGGTTTCAGATTGACTCGGGCCTATCATAGGTTAATTCATTCGACTTATTTATTTATTTTAACACATAGATATTGGTACAAGGAGGCAACAAATACATATGCGCCACACAGATCTCATTTGATATGTGTGAGGGCTGGGATACTGCCCGGGTGCCCAAACCGAAACAATTTGTTTTCTTAGGGGCCACACGCGGAGCCTTTGACCTAAAGGTCTAATCCACTAGGAAGTGGAACAACGTCGGGAGATGTAATCCCATGGTAGCCAGTGACCAACAATAGGTTAATACGCCTTTTGTTCCCTCAAGATACTGGGGCTTATGTACACGATTGGTTTGGAGTGAGGGTTTTCCAACCCCATTAGGTGGATCCACCAATACGGTTAAAGCACCGAACGTTCGTTTTTCGTCCTTTCAATTTCGTAAACAATACCCTCGCCAAGAGAAGGCAGTGAGTAGGACTTCCCTGGTAGAGGCTATATACGTGTGGCCATGTGAGACCATTTCAAGAGGGAGAGCGGACTCTCCCCACTCTCGGCCGTACCAGGGCATTTGGGGGCCATTCATTCGACTAGCATTAAAAAGATGGTAGTTTTTGAGCCTAACCTTAGCGATAAATTTTGAGGGTATAACTATGAATATTAAGAATATTGTGATTAGTTTAAGTGTGATTGAGATGTTTATTTAGTGTGTTTTTTTAGCGAATTAGTTTTCTACAGCAAGAATCTACTGTGGGAGAGAACAAACCAGATTCCAGTAGAGGAAGAAATCAGGAAGAAGAGCTGGAGGTGGATAAGACATACATTGAGGAAAGTACCCAACTACATCACAAGGCAGACCCTCACTTGGAATCCTCAAGGCCAAAAGAGGACAGGAAGACCAAACAACATATTACGCCGGTGTTATGGATGCTGAGGAATAATGTGCCGATCATTATCATGTTAAGTCTAATGATGTCCTTGGACGTTAAATGAACATTTCCTATTGGCCGTTATTTATTTCACTCGTTAAATATTGTACAGATGTTGTTTTCTATTTTTATGGTACGATGTGGTCTGTTTGGTTAGTATATAAATAGAGTATATCTGAAATATAATGATTCATAACTCAGAGGCTGTGGCTTGCGTTCTAGACTCAACTGGCTGGGCTAGACAAGGAAGCGGGACCAATCGGGACTCTGGGTCGTCCTTACGTGTTTTACGTGTCACTGTAATCGATCAATAAAACGCTGCTTATCATAACCTCCAGTCACCCGTTACAACAGCTGGTAAATGGAGACAGGCATGAGAAGAATGAACAACAGTTGGATAGAACTAAAAAGGAAGGCCCAGGACGCAGTGGGTTAGAGAATGCTAGTCGGAGGCCTATGTTCCATCGGGGGTAACAGGCGTAAGTAAGTATTTAGCGTTTCGATGTGCACACATTTTCTTCGCTCAAATATAAGTAAAGACATAGCAAACTGAAAAACAAATTATCTTAGTATGTAACCACGTACGATCTTGAATCTGAACTTGCGATAGCATGATTATCACAGCGTATTGTCATTAAAAGGGGTAATCACCGAACAAATTATTGGTTTTGATATCCATGCTAAAACAATAACCGATTATATTATCTCTACAAATGTTAATATTTGGGAAGCTGAAGGAGTGCAGAGGGAGGAAGGCTTGAATAATGAATTAAAACTTAAATTGCTTTAATGTTATTCATGATTTAGTGATATGCAATGATAGTAGTATAAAATGGCATGGTTATTTGATGAGTATTTACCAGTTACTTTACGGCTGAGAAACGTGGCCATTAGGAGTAGAAGATACTCTTAAGTTACTAGTATTTGACAACAGATGTCTTAGAAATATTGCTCGCATCTGCTGAGATCACCGGGTAATTAATAGTGAGGTTAGACACAGGGTGTTAGGTAATGATGGTGAATCAGTTCGCGGAGTTGTAAATCTTCATCGACTGAGATGGTTGGGCCATGTGTTACGTATACCAGTATTGGAGACGGATGTACGAAAGTTAGAAGCGAGAACCCAAAATGTGGTATCAGTCTTTAACGTCATAACTTATAGTCTGAGCCATGTTAATAGATGCAGACTACTTAGTTGGGGTCCGAATGACTATCGTATCCAATCGTAGGAGACTCAGGGTGACATGACTCAGAACCGATGTGTACACACTTTCCGTCTTTCCTTGAACCATGAGATTAAAATTACTTTATACCTTTCGTTCTACCAACTAATTCTTTCTTCCTGTATTATATCCTTATACACAATCTTTCTTTTATAGATTACTACCATTGGAGTAGATACTTCTATAAAGTTGTTGTTCGTCTTGTTGTACTAATGCGATGTGGCAACTTGAACCGATGCATATATGTGCCTCGTCCTACGTTACAGCTGACTGACTGACTGAGTAGACTCTTGAAACAAACTATAACTTTAATATATATCGTATGTTTTAAACATATTAACGACGGGAGAACCAAAAAAAAATCTAACACGTAAAAATAAAAGAGTTAGTAACCATTTTGTAACTCAATTAATGACCACTTCAGTGGTAGTTCTCTTTACACAGTATTATAGTGGGTAGTGTTGATCTAACGTTTCTAGTGACAGATATCGTGTTCAGTTTTAAAAGTTAAATATATCAGTGACATATATTAGTGATCAGTTCGTTTACTAGGTACAGATATTCATGTACTTGGCTTTGAGTTACTTAGAATCATCGATTGAGCAGACCGAAGTATGTAGAACGAGGTTTGAACCTGAGACTTATTGGCTGACCACTCCAAACAGATACAGGGTTAGAAAATGGTTTATCTCTAAGAAATTTCTAACCAAATCTATACAAAGAAGATACGGTTTCAATCGTTATTAGATCTTTAAACGACATACATAAACTTAAATTCTAAGACCTATAACTTGTATTTTCAGAGAGCAATCTTTAGAAGCATTAAAAACTATTTATTACTATTATTGAGAAAGCAATAAGAAATGAATTTGTCAGTGTTGTACTAACAAAGAACAAGGAACATTTCTGAGTTTCTAGTTTAAAGACCACCAAGTAAGGACCGGAGTCAGACAAGGCTGTCTACTCTCTCCCTTTCTCTTTCTTCTGGCGGTCGACTAGATTATGAAGACCTCGACATCCGAGGGAAAACACGGCATACAATGGACATCTCAGAACCAATTAAACGATTTGGACTTCGCAGATGACCTAGCCGTCGTATCCAATACACAGGAACAAATGCAAATAAAGATAGCCAGTGTAGAAGCAGTCTCTGCATCAGTGGGCCTCAACATACACAAGGGGAAAACCAAGGTCCTCAAATTCAAAACGGGGAATAGCAGTCCAATCACTCATAATGACGAAACTCTGGAAGATGTAGAACTGTTCACAAACCTGGGAAGCATCATCGATGAACAAGAAGGTTCAGGTGCAGACGTAAAGGCGAGGATTGACAAAGCAAGGGCCGCTTTCCTACAATTGAACAACATATGGAACTAAAAACAACTTTCAACCAATATCAAAGTGAGGATCTTCAATACCAACGTCAAGGCAATTCTACTGTATGGAGCTGAATCTTGAAGAGCTACTACAACCATCATCAGGAAGGTACAAGTATTTATAAATACTTGTCTACGCAAGATACTTAACATCCATTGGTCGGATACCATCAGCAACAGCCTTCTGTGGGAGAGAACAAACCAGCTTCCATCTGAGGAGGGAATTGGGAAAAGACGATGGAAATGGATAGGACATACATTACGGAAATCATCAAACTGCATCACGAGGCAAGCCCTGACTCGGAATCCTGAGGGAAGGGGGAAAAGAGGAAGGCCAAAGAACACATTACGTCGGGTAATAGAAACAGAAATGAAAAGGATGGATAACAACTGGAAGGAGCTAGAAAGGATTGCCCAGGACAGGGTTGGATGGAGAATGCTGGTGAATGGCCTATATTCCTTCACGAGGAGTAACAAGCGTAAGTAAGTTTAAAAACGCATTGATTGTTGGTTGATGTTTAACTTAGATTAAGCTAAATCAACTCGGACAAATTTGAAATAAGACAATCATAAATGTAAGCAAAAACAACTTGTCATAACATTCAACAATTGAATAATGTGAGTAATATATCATGTATATATGTATATAATCATAAAAAGGATTTTAAACTTACCGAACACATACATAACAACGTCTTACAGGTTGCGGGATAAGACCATTCTCTAATTCGATGATACTTTTATTTTTTCGTTCTGTTGGTGTTTTATATGAACCTTAACAGGTAATCGGAAAAAAAGTCCAGATGAACAAGATAATTGGTGTATTAATTTCTTCCTTAGTTTTGAATAATAAAAAAATCGAGAACCAATTTACGTAGTATAGGTGGATTTGTATTTAGCAAAGAAACATATAATGGACATTTTTATTGTATTTGGGACTAGTTAGTTAGATATACTCGTATACCGGTATTCGTATCCGCAAAAGAACTCGGGAGCAATACATTTCGCTTCAAAAACTTAATGCAGATAGCCACTTACCTGTGATATGGATGTGACATTTATATCATTATTAGAATAAACTTGAATTAGCTTGTTGTTTGAATCTCAGTGTAAACATCAGTACTGGGATGCACGTATATTCATGCAATGAGTTCCATATAGAACGAAACACGCGTTCTGGGATGTACTGCTAGCTATAAATGCATCTATTCTAGAAAAACTTGTGAAAAACAGTCATATTGAAGCCCATGTTTCAACGAAAACTGATCAAAATTGAACCAAGATTATCAATAACAGAACAATCAAAATCCTCTCTAACAATGACTTAAACCAAGTTAAGTTAATCAGTAACTCTATTCTTTCGTAAAGGAAGCCACTAGTAAACAAATGTGAAATAGACAGTTATTTGGTAATAAGCAGATTACTCTAGACTACTGTACATTGAAACATATCCAATATTTCAAAATGAAGGTAACCTATGTTATAACGGATAGTGCTTTGGATTGTTCAGATCACTAGCAGTAGATATTAGACCAAAATATATGATTACGTAAAATATACGACTCAATTATCTAACTATTCGATCAAAAACTATGTTAGATCAGAACTACAGTGAATTATCCCACAATACATAGTAGATAGCAAGTCAGATCTAAAAGGAATATACTTAATGTATCAAGGCCCCCAAATGCCCTGGTATGGCCGAGAGTGGGCAGAGTCAGCTCTCCCTCTCGAAATGCTCTCACATGGCCACGTGTATATAGCCTCTACCAGGGAAGTCCTACTCACTGCCTTCTCTTGGCGGGGGGGGGTTTACGAAAACGTAAGGACGGAAAGCGAATGTTCGGCGCTTTAACAGGATTCCAAACCAATGGCGTACATGGGCTCCAGTATCCTGAAGGAACAAATGGCGTATGAACCAATTGTTGGTCACCGGCTTCCATGGGACTGCATCTCCTCATGATGCTCCACTGCCTTGTGGGTCAGACCTTCAGGTCGAAGGCTCGGGAAGTGGCCCCCTAAGAAAACCACCTGTTTCGGTCTGGGCATCCGAGCAGTATCCCAGCTCTCACACATATCAAATGAAATTTGTGTGGCGTATATGTATTTGGTGCCTCCTTGTACCAATATCTGTGTTAAAATAATAATAATAATAATATATCAAGCCCTCTATATTTCTTGTAGTTGGATGTTTATCTTTAGGCTACAAAAGAAAATATAAAACAAGCACGAGGATTTTTTTTAGATGAATCACCAGTATAGTGATGAAATACTTTTTTTAATTCAATAAATAAATGGATTTGAACAAGATTAATATACAGTTACATAATTTAATTGTTAAGTTATAAATTGTGGTGCTATTGTTTGAACAATTGTTTCGTTCCTGTTTGAATACTCAATCAACTGTAGATATACAAAACTGAACACAAAATTAAACCTAAAACACTTGAGATTTGTCCATAAATGTGTCAACTAAACTATTGAGGTTTAGGGTGACACCTGGTCGAAACTTTTGGAAAATTCATAAAATGTTGGAGGCTATTTATGGAGATGGGTTTTTAAAAGCAAATCAATTTATTTTTGTAGGGTTATTGAAGTTTCCAAGAATGGTACAAAGCTAGGGTTACTGTTGATCTTCTGTGCTGATGTATTTGATCTTATTTGCCACTCGGTCGATCAATTCTCTACCTTAATGATGAATGTTGGACTGAAATTTGGAAAATTGTTTATGCATACAATTCTAGTAGTGTTAAACGAAATAGTAGGCAAAAAGTCTAGCTTCCGAGAACTTTCAAAAATATTTTAAACAAAGTATACGGAGATTAAATAAATATGTCGTTAAGAATGGGAATTCAGTTAAAATAACATAAATTAGACCTGAGCTAAACTTATTAAAATGGTATGATTATGAATTTAGTGTGTTCATTTTTATTGAAAAGACCCACCTACGTTTATACTTACCAGGAAGCTTAACACCAGGTAATAAGTCTTTCGGTAGATCATATTCTTTTGGATTTTGATATTTCGCATATTCAATTACTTTCCATAATGCTCTTAGCTCAGATTCTTCAATATCAGCAACATACGCTGAATCACCCCAAGTACTGGAACGACTACTCGATAATTTATTCATATCTAAACAATATTGTTCGTTAAATGTCGAACGGAATGTATAATGACGTTTGCTAGTTTGTGATTGGATAAATTGTTGTAATGAATTTTGTTGGTGAGAATGACTATTATTATTGTTGTTATTACTAATGGAAGATGTAGAAGTGGAAGCTGATAGTCCAACTGTTGCTGCTGTTGTAGTTCCAACTGATGATGATGATGATGCTTGATCTTGGCGTTTTTGTCCACTTTTACCAGAACGTGAAGAACCTGTATCTGTAGCTATAGTTGTTTGACTACTTGATGTTGAAGTTTTATCTTCTTCATCCTATTATATATTAAAAAGGGAATGAATAAATAAATTTGGAAATGAAAAAAATATCGGCTGGTAAATATATGTGGTGTGTTGAATATGCATATTTGTAAAACAAAAATGCTAATAGGATGAATTTAATTAACAAATCTTTCTGTTAACTCAGACTATTTGAACAGATGAGCTTATATTTTACAGACATCCAGGTACAAGTAACGTAAGACCTGGGACGAACATGATACACGTAAAGCTGCTAAACTTTACATTTCAACACACAGAAAAAAATGAGAAAGAACTCAAAGGAATTCATCTGATTTCTGTTTAATTACGTAGGTACTTAAAGAAATGACATTTGAGAATGGCCATCATCATAGCCAGATACTAAGCGAAAAACCATTGAAGATTAGAGATCACTAAACAGCTGATAAATCACATTAGATTTTCATGAAAGTTTGTACACCCGAAGTTATGCTCACTTTTGGCAACAAGTATGTCACCATGCAGTTTCTGTATAGAAACAAATTACCAACACTTGTGACTTATATGGTTCTAAAGGGTCAGCAATATTCTATATACATAAACTTGAAATTACAGTTACTAACAAATAGTTTAATAAAATAAATAGTCAAGTTAAAAAACATAAGCTTAACGTAAAATCAGACATTTTATGTTAAGCAAATGAAGGTTATCAACTTAGTATTATCGTTTAATTGTCAGTGAACAAAGTAAATATTTGATTGATAAATATGAAGTCCGGGTTGACATACTTTCAACACCATTGAACATCGATGACAAAACCAGACACCAACAGGTGCTTCATCCGGATCTAATGGTGGGTCAAGACATTCAAGGTGAAAGCTGGCTGGACATCGATCGCAGACAAGTCTTTCGCCTTCAATACAACCACAACTATCACAATATTCATGACAATTAGCACGAGGTTTCCTCCAAAATGGATCATTTTTTCCAGATGTATTTGGTAGTTGGTAGTGCTCTAAACTGGAATTATTTGTTTCTGAACTGTTCGTCGTTGATTCATTGTTTTTCCTTGCGCGACGAAAAGAAGGCTAATAACAATTAAATATTTATATGTAGGTAAGATTACGAAAAAACTTACAATACCGAGTGAACCTTTTTTACCGTATGATTCATTTGTCGGTGGAGCAAACAATGCATTGATCTCATGCATTAAACTCTCTTTATGTTGTGAATTGGTGTCCCCAGACGACATATCTAAAACATATCAACCAAAAGTAGAATTTCGTTTAAGGGAAACTATAAATGTAAGTAAAACTTTATGGCAAATCTTCATAGATGTTTTAAGTCGTCAAATAAGAAAGGAGGATATGTTAAAATATCCATAGGTCCAACCAAATGTTGAAGGACAATATCAGTGTCTCCTGTAACCTATGGATGGATTATAGAGAAATGGATGATTACTAAAACTATAGGTAAAAGTTTAGTCACCATACTCCATAACTTAAAGTGCTTACGAATAATGAGTGATTAATTTGTCTCCCAACAATGGTTTGGGTAACTAGTTTTTAAAGCAAGCCCATCTCAGAACCAAGAATGTTTAATCACTTGTATCATATTATCCTTTGGTTTTTGCAATTTCTAAGACCCATTACCATTGGTCACCATGGTGTTAGAACTTTTCACTCATCGTTGAGTTCAACATGCAAATTTAAATTGATCTTTTGCATCTTATTTATCTATAATATGAGGGATGTATATAAACCACCATCCGAAGAAACACGAGTGAGATTCAAACTTCCTCATTATTTCATTCGTATCAAGAGTTCATTAGTGTCCTCAGTCTATTATACCCTAAAATTAATTTGGAGAAGGATCAATTATCAAGTGATAATACAAGATTTTTATGTTCTATTAACCACGAGTTAAACTATACTACGTGTTAAAACAGAAAAATTAAATATTAATCAGAAGTTTGAAGTTTTATTGCATTACATAGAACGATTGGCCAACAGGAAATTAGATGACGGATATATGTCGGTAAGCGTGGTCGGCCAGGCCAGGGCTCTCGATGTGTCTACGACTAGTTGAAGAACATTTTATTGCCAGATTGACCAAATTATCGTTGGACTTAATCATACTTTGCCGCTAAGGATTACAAAGCATTGTCCAGAGATAAAAAGATTGTACTATGGAATGCAGTAACCATTTAGTATGCATAAAATTCGCTTTTCCTATGGCTTAAAAGTGAACAGTATTTTCAGCTACATTGATGGAATGGAGAAATCTTAATGCATTTCGGTTGATTTATGATTAGTTTATGTAATTAGACTGAGCGTCAGTAGCAAGCACTACCAAATGTTTACTCAATATGAGTGACTGGGAAAAAATTATGAAGATGGTATTAGTAAAGCACATTTTGACAACTAAAAATAATGGACAGTTCCTTAGAAATCGACACTAAACCATATACATTTAGGATTATGGTTATAAATATCAAATGTACCGCCCAGACTTTTCAATAAGTACATAATTAAGGTGAATTACTATGTCACCGATACTTTAGAAGTGAAATAAAAACAGAATCTATGTTGGTTAGCGATTATATCTACCAAGGTAGAGTTAAAGACAACCTGTATAATGCCAAACACACATACATCGATTACGGACTTGAATTTTTTAAGAATAGACTATTGTATATGTGGTGAAAAAGTCAAATACATCTAAATGATTATGTTAGTTCAGAGGTTTTCAACCTAGAAAATAGTTGAAAACAAGTGGCACTCATCCTCAAATCTGAACATCAGGGATAAATATTATAGAATAAGGAATCAGTATGAAGTTCAGATGAAATACCTGTAGAACAGAACTACTCTGTTAAATCATAAGAAGTAACGAAGAATCTCAAAATAAACACCGATCATGACCTCAGTAGACATCAATCCAATATCCAATGAATACTGGAGGAATCAAAAATTTATTTATTCATAGAAAAGCAATCACTATATATTCAAATGTAAATCTTACTGTTTCCACAACAAAGAAAAACAATAAAGAAGTGGAATAAAAATGTTATCAGGAAACAGTGTCTAAAATATTCGTAAGGGAACACGATGAATACAGAGGTTGTGTTTTCCGACAACGAATCTGTCTGTAGAAAGAATTTTATGAAGTTTTCTGAATTATCCACGAGTAAACTTTCCTTTTATAGTGTTAGTTCTTTGTTAGCTGATAGACCATGGTATGGAAAAAACTCATTTTTAAGTAGTTAAAATGCGTTTAGTAGTTTGAACTTTAATAAACGGCATTTTGGAAATTGGTTCTGAATTCGCCTTAGCAATCGACGCATAATTTTACTTTTTAATTAGTTTAAAATGCTTATTAACTTTCGGATTGTCATAATTCTTTCTCTTCTATTAAAATTCAAACAAAACAGACTCCTTACCATAAGTCAATTGACAGGCATATTTATCTGAAGCGTGTAGCTGTTTCAAAGCAAATCTAAAATCACTCCTTGAGAGATTCGTACGTAGCAAGTGGTTTATCAAGTGTTTTTATAGTCTGATATGTTCTTTAGATTACGCCTACATATTTACTTACCTATGCATGTTACTCCCAAAGAAGCATAGGCCGCCGATCAGCATTCCTCAACACACTCTGTCCTAGGCCTTCCTTTTTAGCTCTATCCAGCTGTTCATTCTTATCATATCTGTCTACAATTATCAGCGTGATATGTTCTTTGGTATTCCTCTTCTCCTTTGGCTTTGAGGATTCCATGTGACAGCTTGCCTTGTGATGTGGTTGGGTACTTTGCCCAATGTGTGTCTTGCCCACTTCGAACGCTTCTTCCTGACTTCATCCTTCGCTGGAATCTGGTTTGTTCTCTCCTACAATAGGTTGCTGCTGATAGTGTCTGGCTGACGGATCAAAAGTATTTTGCGTAGACAGCCGTTAATAAACACTTGTATCCTCTGAATAATGGCTACCGTAGTACTCTAGGTTTCTGGCCCATACGGTAGAAATGTCTGACATTTGTATTGAAAATTTTGACCTTGGTGTTGGTTGTTAGTTGTTTTGAGTTTCAGATGTTCTTCAGTTGTAAATGTGATGCTTTTGCTCTACCGGTACGCGCCTTCACATCTAAATCAGATCCACAGTGTTCATCGATGATGCAGCCCAGATATATGAAGGACTTACATTCTTCAAAGCTTCTCCGCCAAGTAAGATTCGGTCGGTGCATACTGTGCAGAGCGTCTTAATGTTTGTTCTGCTTCTTTGTGAAACAAAAACGGTCGTCATGTCGATTTGCTAGGTCACCGAATACTAACAACGCCCACCGCTTCATTGTGGAGAGCAACAGTTTTATCAGGCCGCTGAACTTAAACGATGTTGTAGGGTCGTTAAAATATAGGTGAATCAAGTATCCGGAAATCGGTCACACATATGGTCAAAGTCATATACTTCGTACGTTGTATCATTTAAGCACAATGCTCACTATGATTAAACTTTGCGTAAGAAGATACAGAGCAAACAGAGTCGTTTGGTTGACAGGTTCAATCGGGACAGTCTAAAGAGTTATCAGATAGTATATCCTGAAAGTGATGCTTCCATGTTGGTACGTAAATCCCGAAAGTAAATAGTTCAGTAGTTCTTCAACACTGACTCTGATCTCACTTGATTTATTGGACTTATCCTAGCTGAAGGCGCCCGGCAACGGGTCACTACTGGTTAGGTATTACCGCCCGTCCCTTGCAACAAATGGTCAATTAAGATCAAACACTCCTTGACATATCGAACATACTCCTAGTTAACCCTTGACATTCTTGATTCCTGGCCACTGGGGTTGCTGTATCCGAGATCCCCCATCGTAAAGGTATCACAGAAAAAGCACAAAACTTTCATGGCATCATTACCACTTTTGAGTTTCGGTCCATGATCAGCCCTGGAACACTTATATTTTCCAACAAAAAAGACCTATTTATTATTGTGTAATCAAGTTTTCCGATGAAAAAAGAACACGGAGATGGAGGTGGAGTTGCGGGTGAACTGAAGACGTTGGACTGATAAAAAGTTTTATTTTAAATATTATTAATTCACAGTGTTTTGGGACGTAATTGTCTTACTGAACTCTTGGGCGTGTTCGTTTATATCACTATTTTCGGACATTTTGGTGATCCCTTTGTCTTTGGTTTGTTATTTGGGAGTTTTCCTCCAGGAACCTACAAAATAGAAGGCTTGTTTTGTAATTGTTATAATTATTGTTGTTAGAACGACTTTTGGTCGATTATTTGCGAATTGCGAATAAAATTGGTACCTGATTTGGAGTTTTGGTTCTCTTGCCTACTTGGGTTCGTGATTTGCGAATATCGACGGCCAATACTTCAATAACTGGAACGGGCGAAAACTCGTACTTGGACGTAACAGGTGGTCAAGATTCTAGAAACATTACTATCAATGATTTACTGGCGTGCCTCGATAAAAATCTGATTTCCATTGAAAGTCGCATGGTCTTAAAACATTTTGTTCGTTTCTCATAAAAATATTATTGAATGAAAAATCTGATATGTTCCGAAATATAGGAAGCCAACTATGGGTGCAACCTTCAGTGATTTTAGTACGGCTTTTGAAAGGCTCGACATAAGAAACCGCCCTCTTAGTCAGTGATATCTGTAAGATCCAAACTACGTTTGGACTGCTGGACAGCTGTCTGGATGAGTTAGATACGCGCCCTCGCCCGATTGAAAGCAAAACAAAGCAATTGGGTAAGATAGCGGTTCTATAATTTATCATAAAATTAAGTGTACATTATTACCTAAACAAATATAACCACTCAGCTATCCAACCAATAATTGTTCAATTGATCAAATCTAAACTACAATAAATAAGAAGGTTGATAAAGGATGCAAGAAAATTACCAATCACCACAAATAAATGTTATTCTATCCTGTCTGGATAGATCACATACAGATTCGTTCAGAAGGTAATAATTGGTCGCTCTATAACACAGAGTATTTTCAATTCTGGAAGAGTGCTTCAATTCACAACCAAAATGCACAATTCCAGTCAACACAGGTCGAGCAATCAAAAGCAGGAACAAACCAAAATGGCTGCCGCCCAGACTTAGTATAAAGTAAAACAACAGTTCGGGAAGAAACATGGGGAATTAGGGAAGGTGTAGTAAAAACGAAAACTATAATAAAATACAGATATTAACAATTCAAATGTAGCCAAAAAGTTAACAATGTACAACTAAGAGGACCAATAGGAACAAAGTTCAAGTATATACATGGAGGGATTTTCACAAACACACAAGCATTCAAAATGGATCTTACAATATCGCAACGGTTTTCTGTAAATTAACGATGTTTTTATTCAAATACCAAAAAAGACTACTTGTTAACTGCAAGTTGTATGACTAAAAGGCGTTGCTTGGTGGAGCGATTCAAAGTACTGGTAGAATCTCTTGAACAACACCACCGCAAATGTGTCGCATTTGTAGAACTATGTTGTAAATGTTTGGCCATGACTGAAGAACGGCTACATCACAATTAAAATTGAGTGAATGACATGACTAGTCTCCTATCACTGTCAAAACATTATTATAACCTGAGGTCATTATGATGACTTGAGGAAACGAAAATGGACTGAATGGTTCAGAACCTCAAAACGACCCACAAAAGTCACCTGCGTTATATGGAATATGACAGTTCTAAATAATTATCTCAGTTTAATTGAGCTTCGTATCGGTCATCCAGGTGTACAAACATACTGAAGGTGTGGTATTTAACATTCCGTTGTTCAGACACACTACCCTGAGTGCCGTGTGTCGGATTTCAGTAGAAGCGTTTATTCAGGATTTAGCAATACGCAAAGTTACAAATGATGTACCAAAAAGAATTAAAACTACAAACTGAAGTGTCTACCTATGAGAGGAGCGAGACGTCAACAAATTACTGATAATGTGAACTGTATATAAAATAACAAAATTATCACGGTTTTTTTGAAATAATCATCGCTTGTAAGCTCCTTCTGAGGTAATAACCACAAGTGAGTCCACTTGGTTAACGGAAGCTCCTCCACACTACCATTATCCTCAATTACAAGCTGTGGCCAATGGAATAGAACAGCCGACAAAGATGGCATTTACTTTAACAATCGATGTAGTACATGTGTGTATATAACCAAAGATTTACATCCGTTACTTTACTACTGATACAGAAAACAATAGGTATTGAATATAAATGTGGTTACACATAAAGTGACATGGGGAAAATGTGGTCTTTAAATGTATATATACTCACGAACAAAAATATTTTGTGTTAAAAATGTTTTTGTTCATTATTTTTGATGTATTTATAAATGTATATAAAAGGTTTGACAACAGTAATAAAATGTATAATAAGAATAATAACATGAAGTAAATTGATAGTTTCCCGGATATATTGTGAATTTATTTATATATACTATGTAAACGATTAGTACTAAGGTGAACGAATACAACAAAGTTAAATGTCATCACACACTCAATGATGAATATCTTGCGAATCTCATATACGGTAAGGATATGTTGTGGATGCAGAGGAATAGACCAATAATTATCATGTTAAGTCCTATGGTGTCCTTGGACTTTAAATGGACATTTTCTATTGGTCGGTATCTTTTCACTCGTTGAATATTGTACAGAATGTTGTTTTCTATTTTATGGTACGATGTGGTATGCTTGATTGGTATATAAACAAAGTATGTTTGAAATATAACGATTCATAACTCAGAGGCTGTGATTTGTGTTTCTTGACTCAACTGGCTGGGTCAATCGGGGCACTAGGTCATCCTTACATGTTTACGTGTCACTGTCCGCTGTCACCGAATCGATCAATAAACGCTGCTTATCATAACCTGCAGTCACACCCGTTACAACAATTGGCGACGGGGTAGAGAAAAATTTTGAACCTTGTAATTGGACGAGATTAAGGCTAATTGTTTCAACCAATCAGCATCCAGATTGTCATCAGCGTCCTTGAGCAACATTGGTCATTATTCCTACAGTTAATTGTCATTGCAGGTGCTGAAAAAAAATGACTACCTTTTCCGATCAATTACAGCTTCTACTTGAGCAACAACAGCAGTGTTTCAAAAATAGCCAGTTGAATTTTTTGGAAAATTTACGCACACTGTTGGTAAATTTTCCATGTTTCGGAAATGCAACAAAAGTTGATAAGTTCATTTCTCATCTGCAGACTGATCTGGAAAACAACTGCAGAACATATGAAGCTGTTTATAAAAGCCTCTGTGAATCCCGGACGACCAGTGATGTAAACGAGACAGTTATTCATGATCCGCCCAGTTGTCCAGAAATATCAAATTCCGAAACATTCCCTGTCGTGGGTTCAAGTCCCACTGTTCCTGAAACGTGTACAGACAGTGATGTACCCAGCTCGCAGGAAGATCTCTCATTAAATGCTCATAAAGTAATTGCAGTACCCTCCCACAACGGAACAGGGAACAAATCGTGCATTACACTGAATCCAGCTGTTTCAAATGGTCCTCATCAGTCAACAACAGGAGATTCTGACGAATCTTATTATCTAGATCCTCTTGTACCAGAAAATGTGTTAAATGCACCAAACGATGATCAGAAGTTTAATACAATTTTGATAGATGTTAATTATCCCAGTGATCAATTATTCACAAATGAGATTTTCAAGGAATTCTATGATGATGTTCCAGAAGAATCGAACGTTGATGACCTCATATCAAGCGACGTTGGTCCACACTACTTAATCACTTTTAGTGACTTCTCTGTTCCATGTGACAATTATGTGTTAAATAAAGTCAAATTAATTTTAACTTGGGAATATGAGGACCCAACATTATTTCGTGGGGGAGGATGAACCCAGAAAATTTCAAAATCCGGATATCAACTCCGGATCTTCAAAAAAAGGGGAGGTGTTTTGGATGCAGAGGAATAGACCAATAATTATCATGTTAAGTCCTATGGTGTCCTTGGACTTTAAATGGACATTTTCTATTGGTCGGTATCTTTTCACTCGTTGAATATTGTACAGAATGTTGTTTTCTATTTTATGGTACGATGTGGTATGCTTGATTGGTATATAAACAAAGTATGTTTGAAATATAATGATTCATATCTCAGAGGTTGTGGCTTGTGTTCTGGACTCAACTGGCTTGGCTGGACAGGGAAGCAGGACCAATCAGAACCCTAGGTCGTTTTACGTGTTTGCGCGTCTTTGGTCCGATCAATAATTCGCTACCCTTAATCCACAGCAAATATTTTTCACAGTCATAACGGGATAATATAAGGTATTAATCAATGGCAGCAATACACACAAAATGTTTTATTTCTAAAAGTTGTTTGTGAAAAACGTTATTGGTATCTCTGCTATTGTGTAGGTATTTACCTGCACTACAAAAAATAAGGGGAGGAATATTAGTTAATGAATTCAACATAACGTTTGGGAATATGTACCTGTCTTCCTGTACGAGTGGTTTTCAAAGAAGATAAAGTGGTGGAATTAGTAACTAAATTCGTGGAGGATGTAACTTTAGCATCATACATTGTAAGAGGTGTTGATTTCGCAGGAGTAGATGAAGAATTAGCTAGAAACGCATGAAGCTGTGTTTTGCAATTGCTGCTCACGGCTTTCGAATGTCATGTGTTTCAGACTCTACAAAAGCTGGTTTTGTTCTGTCAACTGAAACTTTCTTTTTTCCGGTTCTTCTTGATTGTGAAATATTTTTTTGCATCCCCACTACTTCATAAGGTCATTCATATGGGTGTTATAAAGGACATCTTACGGAGTGAACACGAACAACTAGCTCCATAAACGAGCTGTGCAGGTGTGCATTGGTCTTCCTTAATTGTAGAACGTATGCTCAATAAATTCGGAGGTCAGAATTCATTTCATCTGGTTGCATATGGCTGTACCATCAGTGAACTTTTCAGTTGTCTGTGGAATCGTTCCATGAGTCTATTTGTTGCTGGATGGTATGTTGTTGTAGTGATGTGATGGATTCTCAAAATAGGTATAAATTCATTGAAGAGGTGAGATTGGAACTGTGAACCTCTATCGGAAGTAACTGTAGAAGGCACCCCAAAATTAGGAGTCCATCTGCCAAGGAATATAGTAGTGATGTTTTCTCCTGAGATGTCTTTGTTTGGGCATGCAACTGGTCATCTGGTAAAACGGTCCACTGGAGAAAATAGTATCGAAGTTGAAATGTGATGAAGTATCGGCTAAAAAATTTGATTCACCTTTGGTAAATTGCATGTTGTTCGAGAATTAGTAACCGTGATCTTGTCTGAGGGTACTAAAGATGTAAGCAAAAGGTTTGTGATCATTGAATATCGCGAAATTTCTACTTTGCTGTAAGTGTTTAAAATGTTCAACCCCTAAGCAAATAGCCAATAATCCTCTACCAAAAGTGCTATATCGCGTTTGAGTTGGTTCTAGCTTCTTTGAAAAGAAAGCAGGTGGTTTGATTTAATTATTCGATTGTTACTGTGGTACCGCACCTTATGCTGTCTGGGACGCGTCTGTACACAGAATTAGTGATTCGTCCGGGTCAGGACTTAGGTAGGTCAGCATGTAGTAGAAGCGATTGCTGTTTTAGCTGGAAAAAGGATGTTTCACTCCGTAGGATAATGCGAACTTTTTGGCTTTGCCTTTTAACACCTCCGTCAATGGTTTCAGAATGGCTGAGCAATGTGGGATAAAGGTACGATAAAAATTAATCGTTCCCAAGAAACGTCGAAGTTTAATCCATGAATCTGGTCCTGGAAAATTTTTGATGCCTGCTATTTTTGTATCTAACAGTTTGATTCCACGAATGACTTAAAAACTCTATGCTCCCAACTCCGAAAACGCATTTGGAATGATTATTAACTGTGCCAAATCTCTGTAATCTTTCGAACAGTTGATATAGGTTCGTGGAGCGAACTGCTAGCTATTAACACATCATCAATATACACAAAAACAAAATCCAGGCCTTTAGTAACCTCATCCATAAATCGTTGAAATGTCTGTGCGGTGGTCTTTAATCTAAATAGTATCATCGGAAATTCAAACAAACCAAACGGAGTAATGATGGTTGTTTTTATTATATCCTTGGATCTGATGGCACGCTCACACAAGATTTGTTTAAAAAGAACTTGTTTTCCGTGTAGCCCAAGCGAAAAATCGTATAAATGTGGAATGGGGTAACGACCAGTTAACGTCAAGTTGTTTAGTAACGGATAATCACCATGGGGTCGCCAAATCTGGACACTTGTCATGCAAAAAGGCCAATACGTATCTTGATCATGGTGTTTAAATCACTCGTGTAGGTCAACAATGTAGGTAATCTGTCTCTAAGATTCAGGGCCTGCTCAAATCAGCCGAAAATGGTTTGACTTCCTGACTTCTTGTCGAAGTTGTGCCTTGCGTTAATACGATTATGCTTTTGTGACAATCAGGTATCTGGCTGAAATAAATGTTCTCAGTAGGTAAAAACCATATATCAACACTAGAAGTTGACAGAAATACGGGGAGAAACCATTGCAACATAGGTCTATCCTTGGCATGCATAAAGTTAGTCTACGTTGGTTCTCCCCAGCCTAAACGAAGTCTTGCAAGTTGTCCGACATTTGAAGCGCTCCTGTTGAATCATTTAGCTAGAGGCCACTGAAAATTGATAAGCCCTACATTTATGATAATTTTGGACACGACACGCCCACTTTTTTGTCTCACAAAACAGTGAACTTGCTTGACAACCACAGGAAATTACACATATTCATAACTTATTACATGTCGCCTTACCATTGACTTTCCTATCCAAATATCAAACAACAAGACCCATTACCACAACAGCTGGTTTTCACAATATCTTTCGGCCAATTCAAACGAAAGTCGTAGCAACTAAGTAAAACTAATCCCTTGGACCAACACAGACCATCCACGAAATCATCTTCATAATGAAACTGGGATATGTTTTTAATGGATGTTTACAATGATCATGAGCAAAAGAGTATAGCGACAGAAAAGACATACGAACTTAATAGTAACCTTGAGAATGAAATGTCTTATTTGGAATATCCTTTCATAACTTGAATGTAGTCAGCAGATTCAAATTAGGATCAAACTAGAATGATGTCAATCCATTTGTTATAACTCAGTGTCACTTAATGGGTATATTAGTAGTTGACGTTCTTATACTGGACTACAGTTTTTGTTGTACTTTGCGGTGGCCTGTTGATTTTTGCTCCATAGCGCGTATTTCGTCCTACTGTAGGTGATTGTACTGAAAGGTTCGTTATGGGTTTTTTCGGAATCGTATCATTTGGATAATTATCAAGCATATGGTTATAGATAAATAGTTGAGTCCATCCGCCTGTTTTTTTAATATTCCCTGAATTATGCTATTCACGAAAAAATTGTCAATGCGCAAATTGTTTTTCTTGGGATTGTATTTTGTGTTCCTTGTAACGAAAATTGGTTCACGTTACTTTCACGTAGCTAGTTCAAGCGCTCCGAATTATGACAAGCATCCATTATATCCAACTTTTGATCATTCAGTTGACCGAAATGACCAAAGAGGTTCTTGGATGAACAGAAAGTTGATGGGGATACAAGTTGTGCGTCCACACCCATCGTTAAATTGTACGCCTCTAGCAATCGAAAATTTCCCACGGGACATTTTTACACAGTCCCAAAGGCAATATGGAGCTGTTATAATTCATCTGGTTGTCTCAATTTATATGTTCATTGGTCTTGCACTACTTTGTGATGACTACTTCATTCCTTGTCTGGAGAGGATTTGTGAAGGTTTGTTTAATTTTTCACGTTACATGTACTTTATAGTTCTACACCTCCAGCCTGATGTTGCTGGAGCTACGTTTATGGCTGCTGGAAGTTCTGCTCCCGAGTTGGCAACTACCTTAGTTGGAGTATTTATTGCAAAAGTGAGTTATTGGAACCTTTGTGGCTGTAGTCATGAGACATACCTTATGATCTTCATCCTACTGTTTCTGCAAGACTGACTTTAGAATAGTCACTTAACGACGGACTAGGCAAGTGGTTTCAGTACTTGGTAATGTACATTCTCTGTAGTCGTATTTGCAAACATGATGGCTTCTATTTACTACCAATTGATCCTAGTTTTTTACGTGAAAAATTAGTTTGTTGGACTCCATGAGATCGGTCTCGAATGAATGTGCTGCCTCTAACATTATTATTCGAAACATATCCTTAACCCCATAACATTTTCATTAAAGATTATCTACTTTCTCATGTTTAATCTATTAGACCCAGACATCGATTGTGATTACAATAAATATGAATTTAAAAACTCACCATGAGGTATTAGTTAATTTAGCTTTCATTTACCAATCAATTAGACGTTTTACAGCAATTCAAGGGATATAGCCATAAATTAACAAGAAATCTTGAGAAATATATTTTATTCGGTGCATAGTTCGTAAAGTCTACACGTGATACTTTTACTATTTTTTTAGAAATTGTCTAGGAGTATTCAAACTAGAATTCTCTTCACCTTTTTCTGTAGCTGCAGTTTTCATGTTAGTTTATATAAATGTTTTTCGGAAAAAGATTCTGGTTGGTTGATTACATGAGTTTGGTGCTTACGAATCTCCTGGATATTCGTTTAATTTGATGACATATTTCAGAGTTTTATGCTTATTAATTACGATCCTGATCTTACTGTACACTGATCATTATGTGAGTAGTTTGTTGTAAGTCGTGATAGTCTGTGGTTTCATAGTGTATCCTTAGCATAGTTCTTGAGATTATGGTGCTTTAGAATCTTGTTAATATATTAAAACCTCTATTTGTATAGTGACAGTTCATCTCACACTTTTAACTATTCGGTGGTGATTGTAGGTTAACAATTTACTTGATGTAAATTTTATAATAGCTGCGGTCATATCGTGCATTTAACCACTAATAATCTATAATCGATTGGTGCATATGTCCACTATTGTTTTGTGTTACTCTAGTTATATTAAGATTCTCATTGTTTTTCTTGTCGTTTTGGGTAGATTTTCCCGTAATTTTTGTTCTTATAACTAAGTCAACACACTACTTACTGTTTCTCTAAAAGATTGTTTGACCGACAATAAATCCATATCCATATCTTGTCTAAATACAGAGATTGGTTTACACAATACTCTTTAATCTTATGTGTTTTTTAAAATACTTTCGACAGGATGATATCGGTCTTGGAGCTGTTGTGGGTTCAGCTGACTTCAATATAATGTTGGTTGTCAGTGTTAGTGCGCTCTTCGCAAAACAGGTATTGTGTTTTTATATTTAACGTGTACTCATTGATTTTTTTGTGCGTCTGGTTCATTTTAATTCTATTATAAATATGACATGTTTGAAATTGATGATAAATGTTAGACTACAAGCTAATACTATTTAGTATTACTCCTTAATTCGATTGTGCCTGAATACGCTCCTCAGCAAATTTTCACCGTGCGTGAGTGTTTAAATTATTTTTGTTTAAAGTGTATTGAGTAAACGTAGAGTCACATTTTACTAGTATTGTAGGGTTAGGGCCCTTCCGTCCTAGTTTGGTGCTCCTTAGCAGTGCAAATTCACGATCCAGCACGCAGGATTCGTACCCAGGACCTTCGGTCACGCGCACAAATGCTTGATCTCCATTGCTTTTGGGTTTTCGATGGTGGTCTAACATTGATCAATTCATGATCTCAAAATTTATATTTTGTTGTCATAGGCCAGTCTGTTACAAAGATTATTGCTTATACCTAGGTTGCACAACCTCCAATAAGTTGACAGACATCACCATTACCATCATGATATCTTTAATGTAGAAAACACAAATTTTCTATTTACAAAGGTTTAGCATGTTTTATTTGGTGTAGTGCATGTTAGATGTTCGAAACGAGATAGGAAATCATATTTGGAGAAATAGGACACAAACTATGTAATTACAATCATGGTTAGTGCTTATTTGTGTTAAAAGTATTTAGTCATCTCAACTATCGGGCAGGGTTACAATGAAGGACTGCATAATCATGATGGAATAACAAATAGTTGTCGTAGTAATTGTTATTGTAGTCAAATGATTTTTAGCTCTTACATGGTTTTGTTTGTTTCCGTTTATTAACTTGATGGTGGTCACAGATATACTGGTTAGTTATCCTATTATTCACTATTTTTATTGTGAATATTAGTAACTATAACCTCACATCCTTTACTCGGAATGACTATTTTACAATATACAAATACTCATCTGTACTGAATATATTTGATATCTCGTGTCCTCTTCCTCTTATTATGATCCTATGTTTCGTTCCAAACATCCCTATAAACTTCACTGACTAAAATATGTCAAACTTTCGTTTATACTACTGTTTTTAATTGTAGGCTGTTTACAGCTGGTGAGCAGCCTTGAAATGAGACCAATTGATTTTGTCGTTCAAATAGTTCTCTTGCTTTATCTAAATCTATCAAGAGATTACATCGTATGAGATAATTTTTTATGACCCAGAAAACCTGTCTTTTATGTCAGCATTTCAGGTGTCTTTAAAAGACCGTGTTTTTTCGAGTAATAGACAGTTGAATAATCAATATTTCTTCGATGTAGAGACTAACAATACTGCTATGTAAATTAGAGCGCCAACCCGATCGAAGCTGCTACCTTGACGCGGTGGTTGGGCTTGCCTATCGTGATGACCCAACCGGGCTATATTGGCTGGAACATATGTTCCTGCAGGTTCTACCATGCCAGGCAGGTCGATTGGCGAACGGTAAGACTAAAAGCAACAACTCAATGTCTGAGGGCGAAGTCGTACTGCTGACTGTAGAGAGGTGTGACAGCAGTAAGGTGTTTCCATCGGACAACCAGCATGACAGCGATGCTGCCTTCCCACAAGGAGGGGTGGGGTTAGAAAAGGTCGACCCTAAAAATGCACACCTCACCTTACCTCACGGATTTCCGTCTCCGGCGGTATAGCCCCTTGAAGAACGGAGCTAACACGTCAAAAACCTTCCACAAAAAGGCCGTGCGCGACCGGCCTCAAGCAGTTGTCCCTTGGGCTCTGCGGTCACGCTCCCAGGTCGTCAAGACCAGCACTAATCCAATTTCCTTTTCAGGTTCCTCAAGAAATACCCTTCCACGGTGTGGGCAGCCGGGAAGTGACATCAGCCTTCATACCCGTAACAGCACAAGAGACCAAGGTGGTCACATTCAAATCCTGAGAGCGCCAAACGACGTTAGTTTCGTTATAACTTGAATTTTGTGAGAATAAATATGTTGAATTAACTTCTAAGTGGTATAAATGACGGAACCTACTCAATACGTCTATTTGTATATAAAACCAAAATATCATCAGACTAACACATTTATTAACTGTTTTCAAGGTGTTATTAATAAAAAAGACCATTAAGCTTCACATTATAAACATCGATAAATCCATCATGTGTAAATATTCCTCTGTTGTAACGCGAAGTGTGACTTCAGGTTTAAATACGCAGCGTTATATCGATCGCTTCTGTGACAGTGACCCGTGACACGTAAACTTGTAAGGATGACCTAGTGCCCTGATTGGCCCTGCTTCGCTGTCCGTCCTAGCCCAGTTGAGTGAAGAACACAAGTCACAGCCTCGAAGTTATGAATCATTATATTTCAAACATACACTATTTATATACCAAGCAAACAAACCACATCGTACCACAAAGTAGAAAATAACATTGTACAATATTTAACAAGTGAACAAATATCGACCAATAGGAAATGTACATTTAAGGTCCAAGGACACCATTGGACTTAACATGATAATTATTGGTCTCTTTTTCCGACTATCCTAACACCTCCCCTTTTTCGAAAGATGTGGAGTTCATATCTGCGTTTTAAAATTTTCTGCGTCCGTCCTCCCCCGCGAAATAACGTTGGGTCCTCATATACCCAAGCAACAATCAGTCTGATCCTATTTAAAACATATTTCGCGCATTGAGTAGAGGGTTCACTAAAACTGACTAGATGAGGATTAGCGACACCAGACATGAGGTCATTAAGGTTTGATTCTTGTGCAACATCTTCTTCAGACCTCTTCAAAACTCCATCAGTGGGTAATAGGTCACCAATATAAACAGCATCTTTGAAATTCGTATTGGATTTCTGACCATTATTTGATGCATGGGAAACATTTTCTGGCACGAGGGGTTCTTCTTGTAAGTTGGATACCTCACATGTTTCAGGCACAGTGGGATTTGAACCCACAACAGGGCATGCTTCTGAATTGGGCACTTCTGGATCGCTGGACGGATTATGAGCGACTGCCTCATTTGCACTACTGATCATAAGGGATTCATAGAGGCTTTTGTTTTCATCTTCATATGTCCTGCAGTCATTCTCGAGTTCAGTATGCAGGTGATCAATTAATTCGTCAACCTCTTTCACATCTCCGAAACACGGGAGATTTAGCAGTCGCGTGCGCATGTAGTCCAAAACTTTCAACTGGCTCTCTCTGTAACGATCTAGTAGTATCTGCAATTGACCTGAGGGGATAGTCATTTTGTGAATCAGCAGAGTAATGAGAAATACTGTAATCAATTAACAACCAATGACTCCCAAGGACGCTGACGATCAATCTGAATGCTGATTGGCCAAAATAAATAGGATGAATCTCGTCCAATTACAGGGTTCAAAATTTTCTCTACCCCGTCGCCAATTGTTGTAACGCGAAGTGTGACTTCAGGTTTAAATACGCAGCGTTATATCGATCGCTTCTGTGACAGTGACCCGTGACACGTAAACTTGTAAGGATGACCTAGTGCCCTGATTGGCCCTGCTTCGCTGTCCGTCCTAGCCCAGTTGAGTGAAGAACACAAGTCACAGCCTCGAAGTTATGAATCATTATATTTCAAACATACACTATTTATATACCAAGCAAACAAACCACATCGTACCACAAAGTAGAAAATAACATTGTACAATATTTAACAAGTGAACAAATATCGACCAATAGGAAATGTACATTTAAGGTCCAAGGACACCATTGGACTTAACATGATAATTATTGGTCTCTTTTTCCGACTATCCTAACATCCTCATTTCCATTTGAGTACTTATATCTGTTCAGATTTGTTAATGAAATTGGTTAGTTATCATGACTCTTTCTTTTCGGCTTTCACTAAGATGTTCTTCTGTGTTATATTCGTATTATTTAATATATCCATTGCCCTATACTACTGGTAACTTTGGTATTTATTGTTTTATGTGTTTACATTTACATAAAATACTTAATGCGATATTAGCGATAGACCTGATCAAGCATATATGACATCATGTGATCAAAAAAACAGTGGATATAATAATGCAGTCTTTGACATTTAGGTGGAAATCGGTCGCACATAAAGCCTATCATATCGTAGTTTGTATATGGTCATATACAGATTGAATTCCACATATTGGACACTAGACTAGCTAGTTTCAAGACCTATAGGGTTCGTAATTTCATCGATATCAAGCCCAATATTTGATCGTCAGATTGGATACATGATTTCAAGTTCTTTCCATTCTGTTTTCACCATAGTCAATGAATCGCTTTCATAAAAGCAAATACATAACACGAATAATTTTGACATTTTTTAAAAGTCATACTTCTATAGGAGTTTTAATAACTTGATTGGAGCATTGGTCAATTATTTTGTTCTAATTTAAAACGTCAGTCGTATGACATCCATAACGTCACAATGGATGTCACCTTCAAAAATTAAATATTTCAATTCATATATATATATTTTTAATGGTATTACGAAAGCTAATCTTTCTGCTTGGTAATTGCTGAACACAAGGAAAAGCTTTCGAAAGGCTTGATGCTTAAAAATCTTCGTTTTCATCATCTGGTTTATATTCTTTTAGTATCAGATAGGATTTTATAGATATTATATTAATTTTAATAGTTGTGATCATGAATCAATTGAAGCTAGACCACCATCAGAAACCTGGAAGCACTGGATGGCCGTTTCGTTCTATTGTGGGACTCATCAGCAGTGCGCATCCACGATCCCGTCTCGTGAAATTCGAACCCAAGACAAGTGTTTCCAGGTTTTCCATGGTGGTCTAGCTTCAATGGACACATGATCTCAACCATTAAAATTATATTTCTTTGTTGAGATATTTCTCAATAAAGCTATTAATTTCAATAAAGGAATGTTATAATCAAATCTGTTAGTTACTGGTCTGTTCGTTTTTGATTGACTTACTTCAGTCATAACATTCTCGTTTCTATTTATATTTCATGACTAAGTGCATTCTTATCTGCCATTTATCTCGATATCTCTCGTTCTTACCGAAACAAGCTTGTATTGTATTATAAATATGAATATGTTCGGTTTTATTATCCTTGTTTACCTCATAGGTGATTTATCTTAATTGGTGGCCGTTGGTGCGTGATTCCGCTGTTTATCTATTATCTATCATACTCTTGGCATTGGTTATTTATGACGAATTAGTCTATTGGTAAGTCAGGGATTTTTTCTTGATATGAAACGAACTGATATTCTTTATTGAATTTCTGCCATCGTATTTCATTAATTATGTTAAGGATTAGTGAATGTTGTAGGATAGAGATACTGTTTTATTTCCCTGCAGATTTGAGTATATGTACATGTGTGTGTGTGTGTGTTTGTGTGTGTGTGTGTTTGTGTTTGTTTAGACTCGTGCAATAAAGCTTTCCACTGACTTTTTTCTTCATTTTAAGTTAATTTGTCATTGTCGTTCGATCAGTTTTACTTTCAAAGTTTGGATATAGTAAACCCTCTCCTTATAAATAAATAACTCGGTTGAATTTTGTTGACTATTATTTCTATGAGTATCATCATTCAATACGGACTATTTGATTGTCAGTGACTATAGGTTTACTTTCTTCTACTACAATTTATTAATTTAATATTGTAGAGATTGGGGGGTTTTGATGGAGTTTTGTTCTCTGAGCTGGATGGTTTGGTCGTGAAGCTTTCATCTTTCTCTTGAACGACATCATCAACACAAACTTCAGATAGAAGTGATGTGTTCTAATTTCTCCACATATGGTTTACAGCTTGTCCTGTACACTTCGTTGTCGATTGGTTCTTTATGACCTTAAACCTGCCATTGTTTACTTCTTTGTTTTGGTTGTATCTCCCATTGGTTTGATTTTTGTTCCTTTGTTTGTGCATAATTATGCATATGTGGAGAAATTCGAACACTTCACTATTACCTGAAGTTTGTGCTGATGATGTCGTTCAGAAGAAAGATGAAAGCTCCACGACCGGCTCAGAACAAAACTCCATCAAAATCATCCACCTGAGATGCAAATCTTATCCACTATCTTAAGATTAGGAGATTTATGCAATGAAATGAATGTAAATCATATCTTCTATATAATAAGATTGTTTTTAAGATAATTTAAAGTTCAACACTTAAAAATGAGTTCAAATACACTATCTATTTCGATGTCACAACTCAAAATTGATTACAGTGGCCAAGATACATTCACTCGTTGTCTTCTCTTAGATTTCAAATTCCAGTATTCCTTCATACATACCTTTTCATCCCGTCTTATCGAACCATATTCTTAATGTTTAGTTTCATTTCTAACACAGTTATTACAGCTTCTTTGTTACTCATTTTAATTTCGTCTGTTTGTGTTGTTTTAATATGGCAACTTGAAGTGACACGTTATTTGTTTATTTTGTTCAGTTCGATTAGCCTAATGAGATTAGTCCAATGTTATGATCTGTGACCGTTCAAGTGTGTTACTGATATACATGTTTGAGTTAGAATAACGAAAGTGATTCAGAAGCTTAGGCAATTTAATCCCAATTGAAAACATGCATAACTTATTCCTTAGAAGGTTAAACTAGATCTTGATCACTAGCATCTCACTCTTACCAGTTGATCTTGAACTGAACTGTCTGGCTTACTTAACTTATCATTTCAGATATTTCAATGTATCTCAGCTTACTTGATTCAGTTATAATTTCAGTAAATTTCTCGGTTTATTTTCAACGTATAAAACATAACTGATATTTCACAGCTCAAAAATGAATTTTATCAGTTATCTTGTTATTAGTGATTCTGTAAAATCATAGGTTCATGTAGATTTTTGTGTAAAACGAGTACGTTAGTTTCAAATGTGACTCAATTCATCAATCAATAATCTCATCCATTTTTTGTTATATCTCTTTCCTATTTTATAGTTTGGCAATTCATTTTACAAATGTCTCATTCATTTTGATTGATCCAAGATTATGACTTTCTAGAACTGATTTATGTACTTTCAAGTTTTTATCTGAGCTCTTTTGAATATATGACAGAAAATTATAGGATGTTCATGTTAGGATCAGTAGCCAATTACGTAGTTCAAAACATAAGATTGACCTTACGACTATTAGTGAATTGACTTCACATGGTGAATCAGTTTTACGCTCAATTGTATTAATTAGAATTCTTTATATTAGAAAAAAACTGATGGAATTTGATTTATGTTCGGTAAAAATATGTTATGAAATTTTTTGCCTGCAAAATGCGTACTAAGACTTGTCCTCGTAATTATGTTCTATACCTGTAGTAAATGTCTTAGATCCATGATATACTGCTTTTTCCAAGATCATCGTAGGCAATATCAGTGATAACTTGTCGAGTTCTTTAATTTATTGAGTTTGTGGTTATATGCAACAGTATTGAATTTCTCATCAGTATCAGCGAAAAATAAATCAGACGAACCGCCAAATGCCCTGGGTGGGGAGAGTCAGCTCTCCCTCTCGAAATGTCCTCACATGGCCATGCGTATACGGCCACTACCAAGGATGTCCTATTCACGGCATTACTGTTTTTTACGAGATTAGTAGGACGAAAAGCGAATGTTCGGCGCTTTAACCGGGTTGGTGGACACGGAGAATCCACCTAGGGTAGTTGGAAAACCCTCATTCCAAATCAGTGGTACACATGGTTTCCAGTTTCATGAAGGAACAAACGGTGTATGAATCAATTATTAGTCATCGGCTACTATGGGACTGCATCTCCTTACGATGCTCCACTGTCTTGTGGATCAGACCTTTAGGTCGAAGGCTCCGAGTGTGGCTCCCTAAGAAAACCACCTGTTTCGGTTTGGGAACCCGAGCAGTATCCCAGTCCTCACATAAATCAAGTGACTTGTGTGGCGCATATTTATTCGGTGGTCGTTTGTACCATTATTTATGTGTTCAAATAAATAAATAAATAAAATCAGACGACAGTACTTTTTGTTTATTTTAGCAAAGGACTTGTAATATTCATTACTTGAAGTCTCTTCATCTTTGATCAGGGATTAGTTTAGATGTCTTGGTTTATTGTGCTGCATAAAAGTTGATCATATTCAAAATAATACTTAATGATTGATTATTGTGTTCTTATGATCAAATTAAGCAATCTTCTTTTTATTAATTAAGATACTTAACAGCTTATTCCAAATGATTTTAACTCCAATTAGCTTAAATGAAATATGAATTCTCTGGTTTTCAAAACGTTGGCTATTATATACCAGGAGTGAGATTTTCTTCTATTATCTCAATGCATATTGTATCGTCCAAATATACCCTTACATATATATCAGTAAATAAATTAACTGTAACGGTCTTCATACTTAAAAAGCCCTGTTATTATCGTCCATAGGTACTGATACACTTCAATATTACTATTACTCTCTCAAGGTGATCTCGAGCACTGTCCAAGCTATAAGAGTGATTGTATATTCCTAATGACCCACCACGAGAGGATACCTCCTGATGAACGTACAAAAGAAGCTAGGTTAGACATGGTCTTAATAACTCGGAAGCTTGATGGCAGTGTCCAGGTGACAATCACTCTTTTTGTAAATAGTTTTAGATGTGTTAGCTCTGTATATATAAGATATTACCCTTGGGGAGCCGTTTGGTAAGATGATATGTGTTATTTCTGGGGTCGATCTTTTTAACTTTTCTTTCGTTGTGAAAAGACACCATCACTGGGAATGCTGGTCATCCGAGGGGACCGCGTTACTGCGATCGTATCCTTGTATAGTTAGTCATACGACTTTGGTCTTGAACGTTGAGTTCGCTGCTTTTAATCTAACTACTCTTCAACCGACGTACCTGGTATGATAGAATTGAAAAAAAGTGTTTTAGCCAATATATCTCGATTGTTTTATCATGATATGTAGTCCAAACTGCCACATCAGGTTCATCTGTTACAGTTAGGAGATGCTATCCCCCAATCCTTTTGAATCTCATTTATAGTATCAGGTTACATCGACCGTCTTCATTATTCCCCTTCTGTATTATTATTATTACTAATTATTAACTATTATTGTTATTATTGTTATGAAACAGGTATGAGTCAGGAATATTTATTATTGTCTATGGATTATATGTATTATTAATGTACTATAATCCACGTATTGATGCATTTTGGCGTATTTGGTGTCGTGAACATCCAACATTCTGTCCACGTGCAATACATTCAGATCAAGGAATTCCTGATCAAATTCAACAACATAGCGGTGCATTTGGACATTTTGATATTGACAATAAATCATTACTGCCTAATCCAATTTGCCATGAACCATTGAATATTAAAACAGGCTATAAACGTTTTGAAGGGGATGAAGATAATTTTTCCTCAGAAAAACCAGGTTACTATTTCCTTACTGTTTTTTTTTCTTCATAAAAATTATAAACCCAAAGATAAATCTAAGATTTTTTTCTCTTCAAAAATTATCTTGAATAGTTTAGAAACTTAGATAATTCACAACTTTAAACAATAAGAGATTAAGTATAAATGTTCGTTTGGTTAAGGTGCTTTTTATAATCCGACTATTGCTACGTAAATGGAAATATCAAACCAACAATAGACAAACTTGTACTACACCCCCAAATGACCGATAACTAAGGCCCATCCTTACTATTGAAAAGACAAAATAAACTTGAAATGTTGATTCCATGCTCTAACCGACGATTCATACAGCGGAAAAAAGTACGGGAATGTGTCTGACAAAATCTCTGCACGGATTCCGAAAGCTCATTTGACTTTTGCCAACTTATGTCACCTATGGCGGAGGCGATATTTTCGCCTGTCAATTATGGGACCAGTATAGTGTGCAGCAGATCGTTCTGTTCTAATTTACGGCTGCGAAACGTGGCCACTGAGAGTAGAAGATACTCGTAAGCTACTAGTATTTGATCTCAAATGTCTTAGAAATATTGCTCGCAACTTCTGGGATCAGCGAGTAAGTAAAAGCGAGGTTAGACGCGTAGGGTATTAGAAATGATGGTAAATTAGTCGATGAGATTGTAAATCTTCATCAACTGAGATGGTTGGGCCCTGTGTTACCTATGCCTGAACACTGATTACCACAACGCGCAATGCTGACTGGTGTTGGGAATGGTTGGAAGAAAGTTAGGGGCGACCAAATCAAAAACGTGTCGTTGGTCCATAACGTTATTAACTTGTAATCTGAGCCATGTTAATAGATGCAAATTACTTGACTGAGATCCGCGTGACTATGGTTACGAATGTTCGGAGACTGCGAGTGACACTTTTCAGAATCGATCGTACTGGCGTGTATGTATACACTCTTTGTCTTCCTTAAACTGTGAGTTTAAAATTGCTTTATATCTTTCTTTCTGCGAACTAATATTTTCTTCCTGTATTATATCCTTATACATAATCTTTCTTTTATATATTACTACGATTGATGTAAGCAGTTTTATAGATTTGGTGTTCATGTTGTTGTGCTAATGAGTGAGGTGTGGCAACTTGGATCGATGCACCTATGTGCCCGATCCCACGTTGTAGCTGACTGACTGGACAAATATGACAATGAACGTTTCAGTGATCAATCAATTTAAGTAGTTTTTCTATTACAGGGCTACTGAAGACTCATTATATTTCATTCCAATACAAATCTACTACACCGATCACTGGTCGGTGAAATAAATTCTTTCAACATTTTCATGTCTACCAGTGAACATGACATCATCATTCATTTGAGTTGATGAGAAATAGGTGCTTTTGGTGTGTGTTTTGATTTTTATTTCAATTAGTCTAACTGGTATTTACCTTTGATAAAAACTTTGCACGTCAATCAGTTCTTCGGAAGCCTTTTCACTGTATACACTTCAGTATACCTTTCATAAAACTCAGTTGCTTTCGTTTAAAAGGTCCTCAACGTCTCTGTTAGGATTTTATAAATGTAAAAAAAGCAATAATCTTTTCTCTGTTATTGTTTCTTCTTATTTAGACTATACAACAGAGAAATTTGAAATTATTGGTAGCGGTTTAGTCGACCAACAATCACACCGTGATACCAACACCACTAAATTGGATGATGTTGAAACACAAGTTCGTTCAGGTGATTCTATTGAGTCATGGTTTGACACTTGTTTTGCTCCGCTCAAATTACCCGGTCGTGAAGGTGTACGCGGTAAAATTCGTTATGCATTTTGTGCATTTTTATGGCCATTACGCTGTGCTTTATGCTTAACTGTACCAGATGTACGTAAGACAAGATGGCGACAAATACCTGCTTCTCATTGGTTATCTTTCTTGATGTGCTGTTTTTGGATTGGTATATTTACCGTGATTATGATGTGGATGATCACGGTAATTGGTAAGTCTTTACAACTATTATTTTCATTTTGCTGGATTTTTGTTAGCACATATAGGACAATTCTAGTGAATTATAGTTAAAGCCTTTTTTAAGATTTTAGGGAAAAGGATATGTGAATAAAATTATTTTTCTTGAAGTATACTTATGAACTGATGCAACTCACGTACCTGGTAATTGTTTATGATCTTAGCTATGAAAGCCAATTGTGCTGCCCAAATAGAAACGGTTACGGAGAAAGAAGGGCGTGTAAACTATTGGTTGAACTCCGAGAGGAATAACAACACACTGGTCCGTCACTATAGTTTCTTTTTAAAGAACTTGCACAATTGTAGTCGATCTTGAAGTGTTATAATTGACATGTATCTCTCAGAAGATATTAGTGATACATACCCATTCTTAAGCTTTTGTATGTGAATCGGATTTCGGAAACAAAGTAGTGGTTTTACTGGTTAAAGGATATAATTTTCAATCGATAGACTTCATTTTTAAATTCAACATCATTTCAGTTTTATTAGTCCAATAAATTCTAACACTGACCTAAACATTTCACATTACAAATTTTTGTTGCTCAAAACTGAGTATAATAAACCTTGTGTCTAACAAACGAATTACATTTGTAAGTTGCGATTGTCAAAAATTGACTTCAGGATACTGGTAAAAACATCAGACAGATGTTTCATCCTAATATGGTATTCCTTAACAGTGAGCATCGGCAACCCAACCATTGGTCGAACCAATGATTCTTAGGTTGTAAGAATTCTCATACTAAGACGAAACAACTGTTCATTGCTTTTTATTTTCCAATGATACCTTAACTGATGATCAATCTATGAGAAATACTACCTACAAATTGAATAAAACTTCATAAAATCCCCTCAAATCAAATGAATTACATAACTTTTTTTCAAATATGCGTAAACAATTTGAAAGTTACATGGAGTTATTAAATTTTAATTCATTTCATTGATTAGCAACCATCAAATTTTTTTATCATTATTGTCACCTACTACTTATATACTTATACTTCAGTGGTATAGGAGTAGGTTGGAAGAAAGTTAGGGGCGGCCAGACCAAAACATGGCACAAGTTCATGAAGTCAGTGATAAGTGGACTGAGTCATGTTGGTAGGTGTAGACTACCTGGTTGGGGACCGCGAGATGATAGCAACCGATGGTTAGAGAGCCTGAATGACACATGGCTCGAAATCGTTTGCAATGGCACAGGTGCATCCACTCTTTGTGTTCTCCCAAATTCGAATCTCCTGAATCCTCCTTGTCTCTTTTTTATTTTCCTAAATTTATTTCACTGTATTATACTCTTTAAATAACATCTCCAAACCCTAATCTTCCCGATTACTGCTTATACTCTTATTACCTCTACTACTATGGGATTTGAATCGAAAACTGCATCTCTGTGCTAATGTGGTGTGGTAACTCGATTTGATGTACGTACGTACGAAGTTCTACGTTGTTACTGACTGACTGACTTATATTACTGTTACTGTGGCATTTTTCATTTTCCTCCCCTCCTACATTTTATTAATCGATTCATGTTTCCATTCACCTTATCCGATCAGTTAATTATTATTTTTTTCTAATTGGAAAAATTGTTTTGATCATAGCAAAGGAAAATAGAAAGAGAAAAAAGGTTAACATCAATATAAACTTCTCATATTCATAATGAATATTTATTAAGGGTTACTAATATATAATGATTTAGAAGTAAATCTTTCCTGTGTTTCATTAACCGTAAATTGGTTTGATTGTCAGAGTTTGTGATTGTAACTAGGTGTTAGCGGGACATAGACTGGATTAAAGTATGCTTAATGCATGATTGCTTTGGTGTACGCTGATTGGCTAATTCTTATCCAATCAACACTAGCCGATACTTGGAGAATACTCTAGAATCTTCTCATGTAAAAACTATAAATATACTAACGTTTTCCCTATTGTACTTCTTACTTGCTTCTTACTTCCATTTAACCTTGTTATTTGGAATATAATCTCTTTCCTGTTCAACCGTGTTTTGATTTGGGGACTTGTCGAGTGAATCGGTGTCCGAGAATACTAAGCAATAGGAATAGCTTGGTCTTAACCTGTAAGGGAGAAATATAAAGTGTTTTACAATGTGTATACATGTATATCCCCCTTTTTTAACGCTTAGAATAATCATCGGGTATGGATTGATAGAACTCGTTGATTACTTCACTTTTCATCATCTCGGCTAAACTAGTGGCTAACGAAATCTGGTTAGAATAAACGTAAGGGTGATCAAACCAAGATATGGAATTAACCCATGAATACACTAACTACTAGTCCGACTCTTGTAAAGAGGTACTAAATTTCTGATTGCTTTCCATTTAATAAGCCTAATCGATAGTTCGTAAACTTGATGGGGTAGTTGCATTCATTCTTTATATCTATGAACAACAGGACGCATATAATTTAACACTTCTTTTTTCATTGTTTTGAATCTATTTCTTTTTTCTACTATTAATTTCATTAAGAGTAATATTGTTGGTTGATAATTAACTGGCCAAGGATATATATGGGGTTGCTTAATATTTAATAAGGCCATTAACTCATGAAACCTTGTTATCTATTGCTCTTAAGTATATCGCTTGTAAATTATGCACTTGATCTGCTTGCCCCTAACGTTGTAATTCAGTCATTTTGTACTCGTTATATTGGCGAATTATTAGCACTGACAATGTGCATGAGTCTCTTAAATATTTGAAACCATATCAAATTATAAATTAATCATTTCCTAGAATTTCGTCCATTTATCACTATTAAATTCATCAGTTGGTTATTTTTCAATAACAACAAATGTTGATACGGCCGAGAGTGGGGAGAGTTCGCTCTCCCTCTCGAAATGCTCTTATATGGACACGAGTATACAGCCACTGACAGGGAAGTATCACTCACTCACTGCCTTTTCGAGAAGACGAAAATTTAATGTCCGGCACTTTAACCGGGTTGGTGGATATGGAACTTCCACCTAGTGGAGTTGAAAAACCCTCATTCCAAACCAGTGCACATGGGTTACAGGGTCTAGAGGGAACAAAGGGCGTATGAACCTATTGTTGGCCACTGGTTGCCATGTGACTGCATCTCTTAACGTTGCTCCACTACCTTGTGGATTCAACCTTTAGGTCAAAGGCTCCGAGTGTGCCCCTCTCCTAAGAAAACCACCTGCTTCTGGGTGCATGGGTAGTATTCCATCCTTCGCGCTAATCGAATGACGAAGTGTGGTGTTTGTATATTCGGTGCCACTTTGTACCAATATTTATGTGTTGAAATAAGTAAATAAATAAAAAGGACAGTATTAGGAATATATTTCGACATGTAAACTACTGTATTCCAGTTCACTGATCGTGAAGTTGAGGATTCACCACAAGGTCAGAAAGGATTTGGTCCGATCTCCGGTTGAATTATGTATGTAGACTGATGACCACCGTCTAATTCTAGGATGAAACGATTGTCTCTATTGCTTCCCAGCTTTCAATACTTAAGCTCAGACTATAATGTTAATGACAAATATGTTAATAAAAGTCTAGAAGAATTCCAATTAGTCTGTTTGTTGTCATTATTATCTTCATTATCAATTTGATTAGTTGATTTATGTTCTCCAAATACAAATATCAACTACTTTTCACTCTTTTACAATGCCTAAATCATTAAAAGCAAAATTATAGAACATGAATACAGGGAGACTAGTCTTAATGAAATAGACATAATAACTTATGACAACGCTTATTATCATTATATAAATAATGATAGTAATAAAATCAAATCAATAAAAGTTATGAATAGGATCTTTTTTGAGTTCGCTTATACTAACATACATCAATACTTGAATAGAGTACAGTTTATCATATAATATAAGTCTACTTCTCAATGAATATATGTATACAAGTGTAGCTATACACGTAATATAGAGATGTGTACATCTAAGTAGTATATGTATGTATATACATATTCTAAAACTGGGCATAGAATAAGGAAATGATACCAATAATAGTATATTTTTGTAAGAAGTGGGTGTATTTTTTCCCCCAAAAAAGTTAGAAGTATATTTTCTATCTGTGTAATGGTAACAGAAAGGGAATGGACTTTTTTGTCGCGTGAGTTTGTTTTATTTTTCTCCCTAAAATTAAAAATGAATCTTACTATTGTTAGGATATTAGACTTTCTGTACAGTAACAAAACTATATATATATATATATATATATATATATATATATATATATATATATATATATATATATATATATTATTGCTACGTAGAGGTGAAGGTTTCATATGAGACTGGAGATTCACCATTGATATTGGTTCAGCATTACTTTGGGAAGTTTTGTTGTCTGTTTTATGCGTAAAATTGGTTTGCTGATCAACTGATTTCATTCATACTGGTGGTTACTTTTCAGTGTTCTCAAGGGCCATTGTCATTGGGACATTGTAAGGCATGTCGTCATTGCTAACATTAATGAGTTTGACTGTCTTGTAAGTGAAATAAGTCAACTTTTGCCTGTTCGTGCTACGCATAATTGATTCACGCGATCATTATACATGTGATTTTAATGTGTATATGAATGGTGCGAATGATCCACTAGGGTGCTTGGTACCTGTGTAATTGAGCTGTACTATTCAGATTGTAGCGTTAAAGCCAATATGGTGTCTGGTTCTCATGGGAAATGGGATTGAGCTGTACTGTTTGCGTTCTTACGTGAAAGTCTGGATGGTGTCTGTTCCTCTTGAAAACCAATGTGAAATAACCCTGGCTCACAAGGGTATATTATATAACTGTGAATAACAGTAACAAAACTTGGCCGGATAGTGAAAAAACTTAGTATATTCAACTTTCAGTTATTGTTTTTTTTCATTTGTAAGTTCAAGCTACATTTACACGATGATACTCGTAATGGATCGTCAAATATCCTTGGTGATGTATGATTGTAGGAGCAATGATATGCTGATTCTCGATACATCGGGCACATTGAATGGTGTTGAAACTGACTTCTTAACTGCTTCATAGACCTTTATACTCTTCGATTATTGTACCATAAATAGAAGACAGAAGGTGGAAAATATGAAAGGTTTCATTTTGAAGGTTAATTAATTTACTGGAAGTAAGAGTAGAGATGAATGATGGCTAGCAGTAGTATTTATGATGCGCTTTTCTTCCTACGTGGGACTTGCCAGCTGGATGTACCTAGAAATTGATGTTCACTTCGGTACTCGAACCCAGCACTGTTCTCTTCAAATAACCAATATACAAACGAATTAAAAAATAAGAGTATTTATAAAACCATATTAGCTTCAATTGACTCATGATCTCAACCATTGAAATTACTATAATACCCACAAAAACTATTCTGATATGAATCAACATCTGATCACTAGGGCTGGCTTCAAGAAGTATTTCCTGGAGTTCTAGTGAGAAACAGTGACCAGTGGAGTTCAACCGGGTCTGTTGTGAGATATTAATTCGCTGTAGACAATGGTGGATGTGTCGCTCAATTTCGTGGATTGGTTGAAGTTAGATATTAACATCGTTGGATGCCGGCCGGCTCAGTGGTCTAATGGTTAAGCGCTAACGCGCGAGACTGATAAGTCCTGGGTTCAAATTTCGCGAGGCGGGGTTGTGGATCGCACTGCTGAGGAGTCGCAGAATAGGACGAAACGGTTATTTAGTGCTTCCAGGTGGTCTAGCTTCGTCTGACTCATGATCCCAACCATTGAAATTACCATAATATCCACAAGAACCCCTTTTGGTATAATAAATTATTTTCTAGTTTCTCTTCAGGAGTTTCCAATAAATGATAATTGGTTAAAAATGCATTCGGAAATTTTCTTGAATTCTAAAGAGATTTTTCAGCAAATTATAGATGATGACTTGTAACACTTATTGGTTGTTTACATTTTTTGAGTTTTAATGTTCATACTTCTTATTACTTGGTTTCATATTGTATATACACTAGATTCGATCTATGTTTTTTCTTATCAACATAGCAAATGAAATTATTTTCGGTTTTATTGGTATTGCTTTTGTCGATTTTATCTTAGTGTATCGATAAAAAATTTAACAATCCGTAGCCCTCCAAATGACCTGGCACGATCGAGGATGTGGAAAGTTAGGTCTCCCTCTCGAAATGCTCTTACATAGCCACGCGTATACAGCCACTTCCAGAGAAGTCCTACTCACTGTCTTCTCGCGGCATTATTGTTGTTTACGAAATTGAAAGGATGAAAACCGAATGTTCGGCGCTTTAGTCGGGTTGTAGGAGACGTGGAATCAACCTAAGGGGTTGGAAAACCCTGATTCCAAACCAATGGTCCACATATGTTCCAAGATCCTGATAGAACAAATGGCGTATGAACCAATCGTTGGTCACCGGCTACTATGGGACTGCATCTCCTTACGATGCTCCACTGCCTTGTGGATCAGACCTTCAGGTCGAAGGCTCCGGTTGTGGCTCCCTAAGAAAACCACCTGTTTCGGTTTGGGCACCCGGGCAGTATCTCAGTCCTCACACAAATCAAATGAGATTTGTGTGGTGCATATTTATTCGGTCCCCTTTTTTATCAATATTTATTTGTTGTGAGAAATAAATAAATAGGGATGCATATTTATGCAAACAGTCATTCTTAAGCAGTGTACAAACCTGGTACATATATACATTCGTTCAACTTGTCACTCCATATCAGCACACTTGGAATTCATCTAAACAAATATTTAATCGATTATCAGTCTGGTATGCAACATATAGGCGAATACTGCTAATAAACCTGAAATACTAATAACAGATAATATTGTCTTTACAACAAGTTATTCTTATAAACAATTTAGTTCAAACGAGTATTGAATGGATACTAAGCACTCCGAGTTTTTTCTCATACTATGTTAAATGACTCAGCATGATCATATTTTAACTGTAAATAGTAACAGAGTCCAAGTCATAATGTTTCTTTCTGTTCATAACTCTTCATGTGGATATACCTCAGATCCTCTAA